CGGCCCCCCTCGGCCGCGCCCGCGCCGCGAACAGGGAGGCAACGGAGCCCCCGCCGACAAAATGGTTGCTGCCTAGCGCCGGGGAAAACGCTCAGTTAGCTTCCCCGCTTGGTGTCTCGCCTCGCCACAGCCTGTGATTTTCCACCTCTGCCTCCCTCTCGTGGTAGAGCTGACAGAAAACACCCCTAGTCCACGAGAGATTATTATTAATTATTCTTGAAGCAGGGGTTGTTTTGAACCAAAGCGATCTGTTGCTGGAGCCAGAGACCATGTAGGCTTGACCCTTCCTCACATACGTGAGGGTCTGCGTGAGGCAAACAGCCCTTATAGAGGTATATTTATTTATTTTATTTGAGGGAATCTGTGGAGTGGCATGTGAAGCTAATTTGAGGTTAAAGTGGGAGCTGATGAAAATTTACAGCTGGGATGCAGAAGGAGGGCAAAGGCATGGCTGGGGCCTGGGGTAAGGAGGGTCTGCCTCCCATCTGTAATGCAAGGACCTAATCGAGGGCTAAATAGGAGCTGGGTCTAACTGCAGGCTGGGAGTCAGTGCTAAAACCACATCTGGATCAGGGGCTCTAGTCATGAGGGTTGTGTTAGCGTAATTTTAGACACACTGCTGTGAGGGGAAGGGCTAGATATGCCATAGCTACTAGTGGTTAGGACAGAGCTGCCCTTGATGGCCTGGTCTGAATGACGACCAGGATTGCTCTGTGGATGCAAAGGCAGGGTGCACTTCTCTTAACACTGCCGTAGTTGTCCCTTGAGAGTAGGAGGGACGCACAGGAGGAACTGTGCCTCAGGCCCTGGGGTGTTTGGTCTGATGGAGAAAGGGTGCAGCAGGAGCTTCAGGTTTTGGTGTTTGCCTCTGTCCTGGCAAGCATCTCCTGCTCTGCAGGGCAAGGAATAACTGGCTAGGGTGAGCAGAGTCTGCCAAAGAAGAGGATGGTTTGTGATTTGTTGTGTCGGATGAAGAAGAGAAAGGGGTGGTCAGCTTTAAAAGTCATTGTTGGTGCTTTTGATCTCAGCACCAGGACAGCTGTAGCAGCTGCTGCCTCAGTGCCTTCTTCATTGACCTCCACAAAAGCTTTGTGAACAACTTTTGAGATGTAAAGATCCTTCTTCACAGACATCCCTGTGAAATCAGCCTGAACTGGGTCAAAAGCATTTTTTATCCCCATGCTGCTCAAAGTGGATTTAAGGTCGTAATTCTCTTCCAGTTTCAACTTGGGCAGGTACAGATCCACTTCAGCTTTCATCATATTGGCCGATTTGGTCCATTCAGCCAATTTTTCATAGGTCAGCTCTCTTTCCACCTACAATGAGTTGAGGGATAAAATAGTTGGAATGTGAGGCACAGAAACAAGACATGCACACACAGCAGTGTGGCTCATCAAGAACATGTAAAACAAAGCCCAGCTACCAGCAGTGGGTACAGCTGGAATGTGTGCCATATTCATGGGGCATGATCCTGCAAAGTGCCAAGTGACTACACTCACTAAGGTGGTGAGATATAGGCCTGAATCCACAGAGTAGGTTGTTCGGGGTTTTTTTATGTGGTGTGAAGAATATTGCTTTTTTCCAATGTGTGACTCATTATGATATTAATAGGCGCTTACTATGTGTGTATATGGTTAACTTTTCTCTTAGTAGTGGTTCATAAATGGGATGCATGGTACAAATAAAAAAATGTTTTCCCTGATCTGTTTAGGATCTGAAACTGATCCTGGCATGGTCCTGAGTGGCTGTTGATACCTTCTGGATCGGGATAGTCAGCACTTAGTTTGAGAAACCTCACCACAAAGTATCACGTGCAAATCTGGACTGCAAATGATATAAAAATTAATTAATACAGCCCTCAGGAGAAGATAACTCTAGGACATAGAGATTCAGACTTGGTCCTTGCTTTTCTTGTGCTATTCTGGCAATAGAAAAGAGGATAAAAATAGGCTAAGACAGTTGTGTGGACATTGTTTTTAGAGGTATCCCTAGAGTAAAATACCATGTTTGCAATGTTATCAGATGCCCTGAATCCTAAACTGAGAAACCATGGTGTTACAATTTTTGAAACAGAGTATGCACATGTCAGAACCTATTCTACCATGATTTTTAAGCTCATTTGTCCTCATTCTTTTCATCTGTTACTGTCTCATAGTGTACATTATGCAACGTAGGTCAGTTTTACCTGCTCCAGACCATTAGTGTTACCACTGATGTCATCTGGTAAGAGAACAAACATACTGAGTTCATTTTCCACATATGGCAGCTCAATGATTTTGAATTTCATGGTTGTTTCATGGAATATCAAAAATGCATCTCTCAGAAACATCATCTGTACTGGTTTAGTTTTGGTCTGTGAAAAAATTCAGACATAAGAAATAGTGTTACTTCATTCCTTAATATGGATTGAAAAGTTTACTTGCTTCATTGAGCTGAAAGAAAAAATTTGTAAACAAGTACAAAACTCAGATGCATTTGGATACTCAGTACCATTTTCTTTGGACAGTGTCACATACACCCCCTTTTTAAAGTCATTGGGATCTTTACAAAAAAATCAGCATAGACACATATCCTATCCACCTGCTGACTGAATGATATGTAATATATTTCTCATTTTAAAATAAAGGCATTAATGTTGATAATCAAGTAACTACTGTAAGTATTTCATGTTTCCTCCCACAGGTTACATTTTTGGAGGAAGGGCCTTGATTAAGAGGAAAAAATGTTGACTTTCTTCCCCTGGATGCCATCAGCTCCTTTGCCTATTTTATCCTTCCAAGCAATACTGATTGTCTCACTTTGCCTCTGAACCATATTTTCTGTGACCTGTGCTGGCTTTTCCTCTTCACCAAACTATAGAAGACCGGATTACCAAATGGAATTGGATTACCCCATAGCTTTCTGAACTCCTATGCTGTATTAAGCTCACAGAGCTTTTACTACTATATCCACTCTCTCCTTTTGCATTGTTTTATTTCAGTGCAAAAGTTTCTCTCTTTGCAGACTTTGCTGTCAGGTACCCTGTGAATTAAACCCTCTCTGTGCACCAATGTGTTGGGTTCACATGGCAGGATTTTGGTAGCAGGGAGCCTGCAGGGATGATTTGTATGAGGAGATATCAGAAGCTGCCTCCATGTCAGGCAGAGCCAGTTCCAGCCGGCTCCAAGACAGCTGGCCAATGATGTTAGTAGCATCTCTGTGATAACACATTGAATAAGGGGTAAAAACCTCTGTGCAACGGCAGCTGGGAGAGGGGAGTGAGAAAGTGTGAGAGAAACAACTCTGCAGGCACCAAGGTCAGTGAGGAGGGAAACGGAGGAGGTGCTCTAGGCACCGGAGCAGAGATTCCCCTGTAGCCTCTGGTGAAGGCCATGATGCGGTAGATACCCACCCTGCAGCCCGTGGAGGACACCGTGCTGGAACACGTGGATGTTCCCTGAAGGAAGCTGCAACCCATGGTGAGCCCACACTGCAGCAGGCTCCTGGCAGCACCTGTGACCCATGGAGAGGAGCCCACGCTGGAGCAGGTTTTCTGGCAGGACCTGTGACCCCGTAGGGGACCCATGCTGGAGCAGTCTGTTCCTGAAGGACTGCACCCTGTGGAAGGGACCCACTCTGGAGCAGTTCTTGAAGAACTGCAGCCCCTGGGAAGGACCCTCAGTGGACATGAAGGACTGTATCCTATGGGTGGGACCCCACACTGGAGCAGGGGAAGAGTGTGACAAGGAAGGAGTGTCAGAGACAACGTGTAATGAACTGACTGCAACTCCCATTCCCCATCCACCTACACTGCTTTGGGGAATAGGTGGAAGAGCTGGGAGTGAAGTTGAGACTGGGGAGGGGTGGGAGGAAGGTGTATATTTGGTCTTATTTTTCATTAATCTACTCTAATTGGCAATAAATTAATTTCCTAAGTTTGAGTCTGTTTTGCCCATGATGGTAATTACTAAATGATCTCCCTGTCCTTATCTTGACTGATGAGCTTTTTGCCCTGTTTTTCTGCCCCTGTCCTGTTGAGAAGGGGGAGTGACAGAGAGGCTTGGTGGGCACCTGGTTCCCAGCCAGGGTCAACCCACCACAACTATGTACCATGACAGATCCTAAAACCGCCCATGTAGCGTAGTAGGTTTGGGATATACAGTCACATCGACACAATTGCTTCACATTGCCTGGCATACAAAAGGTGTTTGACGTATAGATTACAAGTGCAAACAAGATACATGCTTCCACTGGCAAATAGTTTTGCTTGCCTTTGACACAGTCCAAAAATATGCATGCAGTCAGCTACTGTGAATCGTCAGTGCGTGATCATTTAAATACTGTTAGCTCAGTAACATGCCCTCAGTGTATACTGAACACATCATCCTCACACGCTCAGATAAAATAACAAATCCCCATGAAAATTCCCTCTGAGGTTTTATGCAACACCCAGGGTACGTGAGGAAAGAACAACCAGTTCCATTTCCTTGAACTCAGTGTATAGACTGTGTCTCAAAAGCAAAAAGAGACGTAGTGTGTAAGTACTGCTCTCAAAAGCAACTCCGTCCCTTTTGAAAATGGGACCTTGGTACTTAGGGCAATTTCCTCTTGTCCTTAAGCTATGTGGTATTAAGAACATGATGTTCAAGTGTTTTGATATCAAAGAGCTATTAAAGTGAAAATTCTCATGGATATGCATAAATAAGATAATACTGACTTACTTTCACAATTGCTGTCCTCACTGAGTTTATACCACGGATTTTATACCCTGTGCCTGGCTGTGAGTAGTGTTGCAGTGGCATATGGAATGCAGGTGAAATATTTAGAGGTTTCTAGCTGTTCAGTAATAGACATATTAACATATGACAATAGGCATATAGACAAGGAATTTACCTTGCTCAGTCTGAAGGGCATCTCAGAAGTATTTTTCTCCAGAAACTTCTTTTCCCAGTTTCCTTTGAAATAAATGGCATTTACTAAGACCAACATAGTGCGGGAATTGAGAGATCCTGCAGGCAGCAGATCCTGTATTTTCCCTTCAAAATCAGACAGATAGGACTATTATTCCAGTGTGACTGTGTAACTCTTCAACTTTAATTGTGCCTTCTCTGTGCCTACCTGTATAACAAAAGTGTTTGCATTTGGGAGGTTTTCTTACTGTACATTTTTCATGGTGTACATATGGTAAAAATGGCTTTTGAAGTATAAATCTGTTTTTAAAAAATATTGCCATTTTGCTGGTAAATGGCATTGGAAAGCGAGTAAAGTGGAGTAACTTGCGTGTTCTGTGGAGCTGCTTGCAAGTACCTGAAAAATGCCAAAGTAAAACCCTCACTAATCAGAGTGGAGCCACTCAGTATCTACCTGTGCCTCCCTCTGAACTGCAATAATTCAGAAGAGGCTACAGCATGAAAAATGAAGGGAAAGATCTTGTAAGGAGCAGCAGTTAGGTTTGGAGAGAGGCATTCTTCAGGCTGTTTAACTGCACTTTGCTCATCAATTCCCCTGAGTTTCCAGTTTTTATGGATCCTTGGCTGCAAGAGCAATAAATGTGGAAATACACATAATTTGAAAGTGGGACAAGAAAAAAGCCATCACAGTGGTACTTACTCTCAGTTTCATTTTCAACCCACAAATTGATGAGTGCTCTGGCTTGTTCTGCAGCTGTCTTAAAGTTTACAGCTTGTGGCTTTGCATTGTAATAGCTTGTAATGAGCTTTAAGAATTTCTGAAAGATAGAATTGTAAAATGTATGCTTATTTAGTTAACTGTGAGTTATAAAATGTTAGAAATAATTGCTTCAACAGATTATACAGTCTGGTAATACATAATTGAAGAAAATATAATTTGTGTGAAATGGGGTAACCTTTAAAATAAGACCTGATACATTCTGTGCTAAATATTAAGTAAGGAGCGATCAAACTTCAGTCTCAAGGAAACTGATACTTTTTGTTTGAAATCCAAAGTACAAATTTGTAATTTTTAAATATCCTATGAAGCAAACATTCTTCACAGTGTTTAAAAATTTCTTAAAATTACATTTTATATAATTTTAAATACTTTTTTCCTGCTGCAGGATATAGAGTTCAGTACAAAAGGAAATAGTCTCATATTAAGTTGAAACAAGGCTTTTAGTTTGTTTCAGAGGTGAGGAACCTGCTAAGAATTTGTGAGGACAATAGAGGATCGGGTATAAAGGGAATGTTCTGGTAGAATAAAGTCATGGCAGAAAAGCAGAATTAACATTTGCAATCTTGTCTGCAGTGAAACAGTTCATGGAGATTCCCAGCAGAAAATTTTCTAGATTCTCTGTAAAGCATAGGTACATGGGATTATGAAGAAAATGAGCAATAAGCACTCAGAAGGACAAATTACTAATTACTCAGGAGATCAAAATTCCAAAGAACAGTAATCTCATTTAAAACCACCTTCCAAGAAATTGTAAGATGATTAATACAACGTCAGCTTTTAAAAAAAGATTTCAAAGATACAGGTAATTACAAACTCATGAGTACATATGGGGTGTATAGGTAAACACGATGAATTGGAGGAGTGTCAACAGCATTTTGTAATAGGAAATCCTAAATCACAAATCTGTTGGAATTTTTTTGAAGGTGTTAGGAAGCACGTGAGTAAGAAGGTTGAGCCATTACAGTCTATTTGGATTACCAGAAGGCATATTATAAGACTTCTCACCAAAGGCTGAGCATCCATGGGGCTACACAGATAGATCTTGTTTGCTTAAACAGCTGGAAACCAAGAGTAGGAGGAAATAATGTTCGCAGTAGGGGGTTATTACTACTGGACTACCACAAGGATATGTGGGATCTGTGCTAAAATATTTATTCTATAAAATACAGATCTAAATATTTATACTAAAATATATATTTTTAAATATTTATAAACAATCCAGTGAAGAGTACACTACAAAGAGTGACTATTACTGTTCAGGAATGAAGTGTTGAAGCTATGATGGGACAGCTGCATGAAGAAAATCTGCCCACTAGCATCCAAAAAGGCAAATACAGTTTTAAGAGTTACAAAGAAAGGAGTAGGGAACAAAAGAGAGAATATGAGAATGCCACTGTATAAAGCTATGGTGTGCCCATTGAGTTCTCTGGGCAGCTCTGGTATCTCTAGTCTCAGAAGTGCTAGAGTATAGAAGATACAGAGACGGGGATGAGGATGACCAGAGATATGGAGAAGTGTCCTTTAGAGGAAAAAAAACCAAAAAAAACCCAAACATTAATGATGCCAACAATTATCAGGCTCAAGAAACATGGGCAAGTGAATCCACAGTGATTAGTTCAGTTGTGGAATTCCTGCTGCTGAGGGTTGTGATGGACTCCAAAGTCAAGTCTGCAAAATCATGAAATAATGCCTCATCAAGGTCTATTAAGTAGACATGCCCTCTGGTTCAGGAAGTCCCTGAGCTACGGATTGCTTGGTGACCAGAGCAAATTCTGGCAAAACATTACTACACAGCATGCCTTGTTCCCATACACTTCCTGAACTGTTGGCTGCTGTTGTAGACAAATCTTGTCTGTGGAAGGCTGGCCCCATACAGCTGTCCTCATGCTCTCACTTAAACCACAGTGCTATCACCTGGAAAGTCTTTGTTGTCAATCCCTCTTAACGTCAAAATATTCTTAAGTAAAAATGTTCAACTCACAGGCAGTAATGGGTAGGTCTTTTCCTCATACAGCCGGTTGGCACTCTTCAGCAAGTAGGTGCTGCTGGGTTTGTTGATAGCAGACAGGAGTGTTTTGAAGCCGGAGTGGATGTTTTCAGCTTGCTTGTGCCCAGGATCCTTAGAAAGAGACACAAATGAATATGCAATATTTGTTTTCTCTCTGAAGTGTTGCACCTGCTGTGGTTATTTAAAATGCCCAGGCTGTTTTAATTAAAAGGAATTTCAGGAGATGGAGCTCTTTTCTGTGTATGTTGCATGTTTGCAACACTATATATAACTGAACTAATTGTTTTCTGTCTGTAGGGCAATGATCTGTTTCTGCAGTGCTTGTGTAGGCCTTTGAGGACATCAGCTGAAGGTGCACCCAGGAAGTTGAATTTCCTCATTTCAGTGTGGCCAGGCCTAATTTTCAGTGTCACAAGGGTCCATCAAGGCAGCCTTGTGGCTTTTGAGGAGGTGCACTATTCTTACAGAAACTAATACCAGGGCATGGACTTACCAACTGATGCAATTTTCTCTGTTTTCATACGAATTTTGTTGTCGCTGTTTGGATTTTGGAGGGAGTTTGTCCTGGTAGGGGTTGATGGTTTTAGGGAGCATGAGGTTCCTTGCCAGCTGTTTCTTCACTAATGGAGGAATAAGCTGTTACCTGTCAGCTGCTACCTATCAGCTGCTCCCCTCCAGCTGCTTGGGTGCAGTCTCCTCCTCCATGGCATATACCATGCCCTGCATGTGAGACACTGAGAGTGTGCCACTGACTCATGGTGAGTTGTCCTAAGGCTGGGCAGGTGGCATTCCTTGCTCTGGTCTATTCTCACTCATGCTGAGACATTGGCTGCTAGGGAAGATACATGGGAAAGAATTTGGTAGCTGGAGGACTCAGGATAGGAGACATTGGATTTTACAAGGAGTTAGAAACAGACTGAATGGAGGGAAATGTCTGAAGGACCAGATTAGGCAGATTTTTTGCTACAACTTGGAAAGTCAGTGAGTTGCTAAAATGAATGTGGATGTAATGATTCATCTTGAAGATTAATCCCCCACCATCTAGGGAGAGAATGATATAACCTCCTTGCCACTTTTATTTCCAGTTTGTCTAATCTAGTTTCTTTGTGTTTTCTTTTAGCTTCTGTGCTAAATAAACATGGCTTGTTTGAGTTTACAAGCCTTTCACTGCTTAGGGAGTTTATTTGATGAAAAAGATCTGGGCAGTTCCTCCTGGTGGCAAGTCTCTGAGGAGCTGATGAACAAGAGTGAATCAGCACATGTTAGCTTAAAGGAGAATTTTGTTTGACTGATGTGTTCATGCATGAGAAAGATGGAAGGCAGTTTATTGGGTAAGACTGGGAGTCAGGTGGGAATTCAGGAGTTGTTTTTAACTACCAAGTAGCACATTATTAGGGCTAATAAAAATGCTGCTAATGTCTAAGTTCTGCGTTTGAAGGCCTGAGTTCAGGAGTTTTATGGTAACATCTGCTTGTTTGATTTTTCTCTTTCTATAGGTAGTTTTTACTGAAGTGAGACAGTAGATACAGATTGAAGACAAGCAAATGTTAGAAGACTAAAGCAGTAGTTGTGATGAACTATCCCTTTCTTTGAGATTTTTTTCTCTGAGTCTTTTCTTGAAATAAATACCATCTTTCTTTTCTTTGGTCTCCCCAGAGAAGGCCTTGTTGTCTCAGATGAATCTTCTTCTCCTGCAGTCTGGTTAAAATGAAGAACCTGTGATGATGATAAATGTTCAGAAAAGGGGCTTGTTTTTTGAAGATAAATATGTCCAAAGGTTGCGAAAGTACGTTAGTTTTCTACAGTAATTCACCAGTCATGCTCAATGAGAGTCTATTAAAGTTATTGAGGACCTTACTCTCGATTTAGTCTCTGTAATTGTACCATTCCTATATAAACACATTTACTGCTTAATAATAGATCAGTATTATGGTTCAAACATGAATTTATTTAGATAAATGGTCAGTTTATGTTTAGCTGCATGGAATTTATTTTCAGATCATGACCAAACACAACAAAGAGCACAGTGCACTTCTGAGTCTTACTGCTGGGACAGAAATGTAAAACTACATTTGATGTGTTTTAAGTAGATGCATATAACCTCAAAGAGTCCAAAGATTGCAAAGTTCTGCAAAAGTGGGCATAAGTGAAATCACATTTTCAGTACTAGTGTGTCTCTGTTGTTCATGAGAAGATGACCTTATTTATGGGCTAATTGTGTCACAAGCAAAGGTATTTGTGCTGCTCCTGTGCAGCCAAACAATACAATAAGAGAGCTTACTAACTTTGGTATGCAGTATGAGAAGGCAGATATACTGATTCCAGAACCAGCTGGGGTTTCCTTTTTCTAGCATATGTTAACTCCCTATGAATTTTATTAATAAAGTTGTCTCTTCGTTGCTATTTGAGCACTATATCAGGTGACTTACTCTGTTCAAAGTGCAATTAAAATGGAAGGTGGAGTTCTGAGAAAGACCAGCAGTATTCTCTAATGTCAATAACTTTCCTCTGGCAGAATGCTCTGGGAACTGTAAGTGTAAGCTAAATCTAGAGGTAACGCAGAGCAGGGAGATCTTGGAAATAAAGTGGAAAAACAGGGACCTGCAGGACTGCCGGCAGCATGAATGTTCCCCATAGACAGAAGAATAAGGCAATTTATGTGGGAACCATCTGTAAAGAGATATACTGCTAATTTCAGAGCTTACCTCAGCCATCTGGGTTGCAGTGTCACCTTTGGCACCCAGGTAGACCATGGCGAGAGCAGTTGCAATACTCCAAGGAGAAAAGAAAATGTTTTGGCCTTTGGAAGTTTCATTCAGCTTTTTGTAAAGGTCCAGAGTAAAGCTGTTGGTTGACACTGAGAGAGACTCCATTGATACAGCCTGAGATAAATGAGTGTCAGAGAGAGGTGATGACTACTTCTTCACTTCTTTTAAAATATACAAGGCTGCTAGTGGGAGATTGCCTGCAGCCTCTCAGATACGGTGTGAGGGTGTTCCTGTAATGAGTAAAATACTGCACAGAGACCAAATACAGTCAGCTAGTAGGTCTGTTTTTAAGACCTGCATTATTTCTCCCTTCTCCATCACTCCTCAATGTCCTCAGCTTTTTTTTATTCTTCAATAGATGAGCAAGATTTTAGCTGGAAATATTTTCACAGACCAAACTTATTTCAAAAACTCATTTATTTATGTCTCATAGAATTATTCTTCAGTTCTGAGGGGGTGAAACAGAATCATTAGTCATTGTGCTGCTTTAAGCTTTTTCCTATTTCTTTAAACTTCCTGTGCTATTATTTCCTGCTGAAAAATAATGGTGAATTCATGCTGCTTCTTCTGTGCTTTTACAAAACAAAATCAAAGCAAACACAAAAAAGAACCCCAGGATTAAACTGATTTTCCATATGTGGATCCAGAACAAACCTGTGCTTCCTATTAGCATATTTTAGATCAGTCTAATACCACTGACAAATATTAGGATAAATTCAGAAATTTACATTGTCTTCAGCAGTATAAGGACTACTAAAACATGTACTAAAGTCAGTGTAAGATGGTATCAGGTGAAAGGTTAAGCACTAGATCAACAACAGCACGTGGACATTTAAGTCTACCTTCACCTGCAATTTACATGCTTAAATCAAAAGCTCCAATCCTTAAAGCCAGATGCCATGCAGTGTTAGAGATACCCAGAGCCACTGGGATTCTTGAGTTATGATTTCAAAGCTTTTCAGGGCTCCACAACTGCTTCAAAGTCTTCTCAGGAGTGCTTCAGAGTAGGATGCCCTTCAGCCTAGCTCATACCTAAGCACTTTTAGAAACTACAAATCAGGTATCTTTTACTGCTGTGCCTGGAGATGCTGATACTCCCAGATCATATCTAGGGAACAGGGCTGAGCTGAACATTTTTGCCTGAAGAATTTCAAACCAACATCTCCATCTCCTGATCCCAAAGAGTACCTGAACTGAATCTGCATGCAGCAATCAATCATTTCTCAGGCTTGAGAGAGAGAACATGTGTGTGGTTCACTGGTCTACCAGCCATGTCAGTCATCTGGGAAGGAAAGTCTGGATGCCTGATCCTGTAGTTCTTTGATATTTATAAAGCAGAGGCTTGAACCAATACACCTCATGCTGAGAGTTCAAAACACTTGCCACAGAGTCGTGCTGGTTTGTATGTTCAGTTCCAGGATCAGTAGGAGTGCATTCTCTCCTGCAGCCTGTTCTCAGCCCTCTGATCCTAAATTGACTGGTACATGGTGATTAGGGCACCCTTCCTACAGGGGAGGAAACTTTCTGCCCTCCCAGACTGTAGGTTTTGCCCAGCCTGGGCTTGCATTCTGACCACTGTGCCTTGACACAGGGTTTTCCTAAGGGCTACACTTTTTTAAAAAAAATATGAGCACTCCTTTCCCCTGGGTGACTTTTATGCCATCATTAAACCACTCAGTTCCAAAGAATTTTATGTGCATTTTTAAGACTTATGAAATAAAGCTAGTTATTTTCAGATTAATATTTACACTACCTGAAATCCTGAGGGAGAGAAGGGTTAAGATCTGTCTTCAGTCAGGTTCTGTGGTGGTCTGTGAGGCAATGAACAGTTTTGGAAATGTAGAAATGTTTGCGCCTCCCTTTTCTTCTCTACATCCTCTTCTTGTATTAATGTGTGTGTTCCCTCATTTATTCCTACTTCTTCTCTCTATCACCTGCTTTCAGAACTTAGAGAGAGAGACACACCTCCTCAATTCAAGGCCACTGTTATTGGGTGTGTGTCCTGAAATGTGAAGGCCAGTGTGTCCTCCACAACCTTGGCATTTGGCCTGCAAAAATGTGAAAATAATTCAGCCACCCTGGGCTGGCAAGAGACATGTTGAAATAATTTTACAGCTTCCTTTTCTTTTTACTCTACAAACTGGGGAAATGAATAGAAATTAATCTCAAAGATATGGCTAAAAGGGAATACTGAAATAGGCTGTTAGTCTCACTCATCCTGTGATTAAGTTTGAGAGGGGAGGATTTGGATATCTGTGTCTCTCAAGTCACATAAAGCCCTTATTCTGTGATATTTTACATTTTTGCTCTTCTGTTTCAGAAATCAGATCACAAAGCTCAGAAGGTATTTACACATTCACCTAAAATAAGAGTGAACATTGTACTCATTTGAACTGATGGATGTTGTTCTAAAAGACTGCTGCTCCTAGCTGAGGAGGTGAGGGTGCTTTAGATACTTATAGGCCCTACACTGTGCTGAACTTATTATTCCTCTGTGATGGATTGAGGGAGTTTGGATCATCCACCAAAAGCTGAAAAACACCTTGGAAGCTCTGCTTGTAATGATTTATTTTACTGAAACTGGGTTTGTTTTTTTTTTTTTTGTATTTGAGAGCCAAACCAGCAGAATGTATAAAAATGGACATCAGCAAAGGTGTAATACAAAAGTTACCTGTACACAAACGTTTTACTTTAAACCAGTGTAATTAGCAGTTCTGCTGGTTTACTCTTCTCTTACCTGTGTGACTTAGATTAAACTGCATTGTTAAATTTCTTTTGCAATCATTACATGTCTTGTCTGCTACATTTATGGTTAGTTAGGAATGGCCTCTGCCCCCTAGTATGACATGTGCAGAGTAAACCAGTTACCAGCATGCAGTCAACCTATACAGAAAAAGCATCAGTATAAAGAGTACTAGTCCGTATTTTGAACTAGAATTACATTTTTTGTGCTTACATTCACTGCAAGTCTGACTGGTACATATGCCATACAAGATTCAAGAGTTATATGTGCCTCTCTTTTTTTCACACATTTTGTTTTTAAGTGCATGCAGGTTTTGTACCTGGAATATCCATCTTATTTTCTTGTTTCAGAATTGTATTAGGCACTATTATGTTTAGTTATATGCTTAAGAAATGTTTCTGCCATGTATCTGAAACTGCTGTTGTCTATTTTTTAGCTAAATGAACAAGAGAAGACAAAAACCCAAACAACAGTTAGGGGTACTACAAGCTACAAAGATTAGCCAAAAATACAGGAAAATTAAGAAATGGTACTCAAACTGTGTGGACACTCTTTGTGGTATATTCCAGCTGCTGCAAGATCCTGTTTAGTAAGGGAGAGTGGAGTTTCAAAGGGAAGCAAATTGGCCAAAGAAGAGGTGCTCTTGTTTTTGCTGAGCTGGATGGAAATAGTGAGAGGAAATAGTGAATTGCTGCAACCAGGGTGGTAGAAACAAGGGTTTCACAGCATCACAGTGCCTGACCTGTTGACCTCAAGTGGATTGACCTCTGACAAATGGTCATAAAAAGTCTTTTGATAAAACCAGTCATTTTCCTCTGGCATAATCATGAAGTCATTTTGACCTTTTTTGAAACCATCTTAAATCCTCATCTTGCTCAGCATGGATGCGAGGTTGTGTTTTTCTGTTTGTCAGACTCCCATAGCTGTACTCTGTAAGTGGTCCACTCTAAGTGAGCCATTTGGGCATTTCTTGCAGACCAGTTCTCTTTCAGTTAAGTTGAGTAAAAAGCAGCGCAATTTACAATTAGTGTTAGGTTAAGTCCAGGTTTTTACTCTGCCCAGAATCCCATTCAGCTGTGTCCCCCAGGAAAAACATGAGACCAAGTATCACATCTGTTGCAACAGAACTCGAAAGGATTGGACTATAAATAACATTTAAAAGGGATGTTTTTTTAAAAGGTATTTTTCTTGTGCCTGTCACTGATGACAAAATAAAACCTTTAAAAATATGAATGCATTTGCATTTCCATTCTAAAGCAGGGGTTTTTTACATGTCCTTATCTTGAATACTAATACTACACCAGCACTGTAAACTTTCTTGTCTTTATTATTGTGTGCTGTGTCTGCCATTTCTGCTTGTCATGAGGTCAGTCTACCACAGAGGTGCCAGGGATTATTTTATGAAGCTGAGATCTGCACTGGTAGGAAAAAAGCGCCCCATCTTTCATTGTAGGATAAACTGAAAACATGTTAATCTACTGTGTTTTCACAGGCATGAAATCACTAAGTGACAAGCAATCAATGCTCGCAACATGTATGTATCAAGGCTTATCTCAGCAGGTTCCTGTAGATACTTCTTTCTATAGTTTTCAAAGTCCTGGGACCTTTCAAGGAAGAGTTTGTGGGCCTGAAGTTAGAAATTTTGATGATACAGAACAAACTCAAGGCTTCTTGAAAGCAATTATTTGGAAATGCAGTCATGTAGCACCTATTGCTTGACTACTTTGCAGTATTTTAGAAAGATGATTAAATAGCATTTTCCCCAGCATGGAAGAATAAAATGTAACTGTCTTTCAAAAGCATCAGGCCACACTTTGTGGCAGACAGGAGAGAAAGGACAGTGCTTGGGAGAACCCTTGCTGAGGGGAGCATTGGAACACCATGACCTGTTCATGGTGTAGGAGCTTCTCTGCCCCAGATCTGTCTCCTCTTCCCCCATCCAGGGCTGTTGCTGGCCAGCCTGTCACCTCCAGGAGCCCCAAGGCCTTCTGGAACAACAGCAAGCAAGCATGCTGCACTGGAAATTCAAATTCCCAGGACTGTGTCCCTTGCTATATTGAAGTGTGGCATCCCAGCCTAACAGGGGAAAATAATTGTGAAACCATGGAAACTAAAAGACTTAAAATTTTTCTTAACTTCCAGCACTGGCAGATGCACCTTCCAGGTCTCAGGTGTGAGGCGTGGAAGTAACTGCAGGGGATGGGGCCCACATCTGTTGACCTGATTTGTTATCCATGTAGATTTGTTGTTTGCTAGAAGCACACATTCGGGGTGCTGTAGAGAGACTACTGAGGCTCATCTGTCCCTCCCCCTGCTGGTCTTCCATGTGGGCACAGAAGATATTGCCAGGGGTGACCTAGGAAGTACAAAGTGTGACTGCAGAGCTCTGGGGGAAGTGGTCAAGGGCATGGGGGTCTAGGTGGTGATCTCCTCAATCCTGCTGGTGAGGTGCACGGGCCTGAGGAGGACTTGACAGATTCTTTGGGTTAACAATTCATTGCACTGCTGTTGTTGGCAGCAGGTATTCAGTTTCTATGGCCATGGGATCTCTCTGAGGGTCACCAGCTTCTTGACAGAGAAGGGATCCACCTGACTGAACAGGAAGAAGTATCATTGTCAACAGGCTGGCCTACCTGCTAAGCAGAGCTTTAAACTAGAAATGGATGGAGGAAGAGAGTGATTCTTCCACAAAACAGGAGGTTTCAAATATGGTAGGCATGCCAAGGGCCTGGGATGATGGGAACAGGAGGGACATAACAATCAACAAAACAGCCACAGTGGAGCCACTTCCAACATAAGCATGTAAAGAATGAAGTGCCTACGGAAGAGCCTTAAGGGAAAACCTCTCAACCCTGTACAGGGGAATCAGCACACTTGGGTGCCTCTCTGAAATGCTATTACACTAATGCAGGCAGCATGGGCAACAAAGAGGAGCAGTTAGAAGTCTGTGTGTGGTTACAGGGCTGTTACCACACTGGGATCATAGAGATATTGTGGAATAGGTCACAGGACTGGAGTGCTGCAGTGGAGGGATACAGGCTTTTCAGGAAAGACAGTCTGGGAAGGCAAGAAGGAGTTGCCCTTTGTGTGAGAGAGCAGCTGGAAGTCACAGGGCTCTGCCTTGGCATAGGTCAGGAGTCATTTGAGAGCTTATGGATCAAGATAGTGGGCAGGCCAACAGAGATGCTGTTGTAGTAGGTATTTGCTATAGACTTCCTGATTAGGAAGTAGATGAGGCCTTCTTTAAGCAACTGAAAGAAGTCTGGTCTTTATGGGGGATGACCTTGATATCTGCTGTAAGAACAATACATTAAGGCTCAAGCAAACTAGGGGATCTCTAGAGTACATTGATGACTACTTCCTGGCACAAGTGATTGAGGAGCCAACAAGGAATGATGCTCTGCTGGACCTGATACTGAGAAAGAAGGAAAAACTGATCATGAATTTGAAAGTCGGAAGAAGCCTTGGCTGCAGTGACCATGAGATGATGAAGCTCAGGATCCTAAGAGGAAGGAACAGGGCGAAAGGCAGGACTTCAGCTCGATTTCAGGAGATCTTCAGAGTTCTGCTTGGAAGAATCCCATGGGATATGGTCCTGGAGAGAAGAGGAGTCCAGGAGAACTGTTTGATATTCAATAATCACTGCCTTCAAGCTCATGAATAGTCCGTTCTGACAAGTAGTGAATAAGTCCAGCAAATGTGACAGGAGGCCTGCATGGATGGACAAGGAGTTCCTAACTGAACTTGGACATAAAAAGGAGGTGTATAAGATGTGGAAGCAGGGGACCTGACCCAGAAGGACTGTGGTTAGGAAAGTCAGGGTCAACCTGGTATTGAACCTGGCAAGGGATGTGAAGGTCAGCAGGAGAAGAGATGACAAGTACAAGGTAAAAAGACTAGGGAAAATATGGGTCTGCTTCTGAATAGTGCAAGGGAAATGGTGACAGAACATGGAAAAGGTCAAGATACTCAGTGCCTTCTGTATCTCAGTATTTACTGGTAAGACCACCCTTTAGGAATACCTGAGACCAGAGCAAAAATTTTGGAAAGAGGAAGGCTTACTCTTGGCAGAGGAAGACCAGGTTCAGGAGCATGTAAAGAAATAGAATATACAGGAGTCCATGGGGCCTGATGACTTATACCCATATATGCTGAGGAAGCTGGCTGATATCATTGCAAGTCTCTTCTCAATTGTCTTTGAAAGGCCTTGGTGACTGGCAAAAGTCTCTGAAGACTGGAAGAGGGCAAATGTCAGAACTGACTTCAAAAGCCCGACCTCAGTCCCTGGGAAGATGATGGAGAAAATCCTCATGGAAACCATTTCCAAACACATGAGAGACAAGAAGTTGATCAAGAGCAGTCAGCATGGATTTATGAAAGGGGAAATCATGCTTTACCAACCTGATAGCCTTATACAGTGAGTTAACTAGCTTGATGGATGAGGGGAGAACAGTGAATGTTGTTTACCTTGACTTTAGTACAGCTTTTGATACTGTCTCCCATAACATCCTTATAGAAAAGGTGACAAAGTACGAGTGTAAAAAGTGAACCCAGCCAGGCCCAGAGGGTTGTGATCTGTTGGGATTCTAGAGGGCTTTCTGCTGGAGAATGGACATGTGAGCAATCCTGCGTGAGAACAAGACTGATAAGAGCCTCAGCCGAGCAAGAATGTGATAAGGATGTGACCCTGAATGAGGGGGGAGAAACTCAACGAGACAAACAGCCCCCGGAAGGGGTTGGGATGGAAGAGGAAGTTACACAAGGCAGGAAGCCTGGCAGGGCTGATGTGGCACTTTTTATCCAATCATAAGAAGGTTTAAAGCGCGGGCTAAGTTAACTGTCCAGTCTTGAGGACTTGTACTGCATGTTACTTATGTGTACGGGAGAACATTATAAAAGGGCTTTCTTAGTTGTAATAAACGGGCATTGCTTGATCACACTGGTCGTGTGCGTGCTCAGCTCTCCCGCAGTGATCAGTAGCACAAAGTCTAGTTGGAGTCAAGTCACTAGTGATATACCCCAGTGGTCAAAACTGGGACCGGTACTGTTTAGCATCTTCATTAATGAACAGGATGCTGCATCAGAGTGCACCCTCAACAATATTGCAAACAATAGAAGACAGGCAGGAGTGGCTGATATGCCAGAGTGTGTGCTGCCATTCAGAAGGACCTGGACACAGTGGAGAGTTGGGAGGAGAGGAGTCTTGTAAAGTTCAACAAGGGGAAATGCGAAGTTCTACATCTGGGGAGGAATAACCCTAGGTATCTGTACACACTGGGAACTGACTGTCTGGAAAGCAACTCTACAGAGAAGGACCTTGGGGTTCTGGTGGACAGCAAGCTGAGCATGAGCCAGCAGTTCATTCTTGCAGCAAAGAAGACCAAAAGCATGGTGAACTATATGAGGGTGAGTGTTGCCAGCAGTTGAGGGAGGTCCCTCTCTGCTCAGCCCTGATGAGACCACAGCTGGAGTGCTGTGTCCAGTTCTGGGCTCTTTAGTATAAGGAAGACACAGTTTTCCATATCTTCACTCTGAACAGGGCCACAAAGATGATTGAGGGGGTGGAGCGTCCTTCATATGAGGACAGGCTGAGGAGTTGGGATTTACAGGCTGGAGAAAAGAAAGCTCAGGGGAATATTATCTATGTACATAAATACCTTATGGGATGTAATGAGGAAGAAAGAACCAGACTCTTCTCAGTAGTGCCCACTGAGAGAACAAGAGGCAATGGACACAGATTAAAAACATAAAATTCAATCCAAACACAAGAAAACACTTCTTTACTATGAGGTTGTTCACACACTGTCATCAGTGGCCTGGAGAGGTTGTGTAGTGTCCATCAGTGGAAGCAGGTGTACAAAAACCCAGCTGTACACAGTCCCATGCAACCCGCACTAGCTGACCCTGCTTGTGCAGGGGGTTGGACCAGATGACCTCAAGTGGTTACTCCTAGCCTCAACGATTCTGTGATTCTGTAAGGGTTAACCTGACTTGAGAGCCAGACAGTGGTTACCATGAAAATAGTACAGGGAGACACAAATGAAGCAGCTTTGAATGTTGCTTGCAGTAGCTGAGCTCTAAAGAGTGTTTCCCCCTGGATGGGTTCCTTTTCTTCTCTTTCACCCTTTTCACCTGCATCCCAAGTCTTACACTGGAAGGTGTGCTCTTTGGCATCATCTCCCAAGTAAATCTGAGACTGGGAGTATCTTGGTACCAAACCCAGCCTGTTTGACCCTTTGCACTCTCACCAGCTGGCAGACACTGTGCTGTAGTTCCTCGGAGAGCTTCAGAGGTACCGCTTTGCAGAGCCCTGCAGTGTGGTATGAGTGAGGGGATGCACAAAAATTAGCATGAGAAGACCTTTTATTTGGTTTGGCATGGAACCCTTCCCACCTCTTTGGGTAACTTCTACTCTTACATGAAATGACTCTTCAAACTGGGTATACACAATTTAGGAGTTCCCAGTAATTACTTATTGTTGAATACACACAGCAGAGAGATAGGATTAACATGCTACAAGGCTAAGAATTAACATGCTTACCACCCTGATGAGTTTTTGCTGGCCAGGCTTCACTCAAGTGGAGGAGGGCTGGCCTTCATTGCCCCCTAGAAGAAGCTTAGACTCAAAGTTGCTAGTTGTCTTCCATTCTTCATTTTAAAAAAAAAAGAGATTTTGTACTCCTCATGCAAGTGTTTCTCCTCCTGAAGCCTTGCTATGCTGACTATTCCATCCTGACAATAACTTCTGTTTGTGTTTTTACTTTTCTTATTTTACATGGGCCTTCACTTGTGTGCTTTTCCACACCTCAACAACAAACTTCTCAGTAAAGCTGAGTCAACACCACACAACTAGGCTCACCAGCATAGGTTCTGGATGACAGATATCTGAACCCTGAGCTGAGGGTTACAGGCAAGGAAGGGCACTGATTTTAGAAGCAGCACTTTGTACAGGGAAGAAGATGCAGGTATACTTAGTTGGGTGGAGATATATTTCCAAATAGAATACCTTTTGTGGAGGTAGTGAGTTGTAATTACAGTACCTCCCTCCTGCATTCAAATCTTATTCCTTAGATAATGTTCTCTGACATGAGGTTACTGAGAACCACAATGGCTACAAAACTTTATGCTATTCCTCATGGCCACAGGAAAGCACAAGTTCTGCCCTCACAAGCCAACAAAGGGAACTGATGTTGCCAGTGCAGCATTACTTGTTCACTATTGCACATGGGCAAAAGGCATGTTTGGGAGCTGCTCTTCTGGGCTATAGGCTCTAGTCACACTTTCTATTTATAGTGTGTTGTGACAGAAAAAAAAAAAAGCCTTCTGAAATAAGTCCCAGGGTGGGGATGACAGTGCAATAAGCAGCAGTCAAAAATGGGAAACTGAATGCTTAAAAAGAAAAGTTCAAATGCTTTGACTCTGTGAGCAAAAACTTGCTCATCACAGAGTTTAATTTGATTTGGTATGTTTAGTAAATGCCTAGGATGACAGACTGAATGACAGTGGTTTTGGAGCTGTTTGGAGCCTAGTGGAAATAAGACACTTAATTGTGTCAACTTTGTCAATCGTGATGATGTGATGGTTGATTCGGAATGGCAAGAATGGAAATGTGCTCCAGCTGTGCACCTTACATGATGCTCTAAGAGAGCCACGTAAATCAGTGTCTTGAATAACACAAACACAACTTCAAATTAATTTATTGGATTAAATGCAGATTGCAGTAAATTTATGAGGCATCAGTCAAAATCTCACTGGTGTTTCTGTCGATACCATGACTATCTTGCCTGAGATGCACTCCTAAGTTACAAAATTCATCATAAATCATCACATAAATCATACATTGATCAATGATACAGGTAGTAAGGAAACTGTGCAGTTATTAGCCAGGAAACAGCTATAGTTATGTTAAAAAGAGGAAGCAGATTTGATTTCTGGAGGGTTTAGTTTGCATATCAGTAAGAGGTAGCAAGAAGCATGGTGCTTATAGTTTTCTTAGCATTCTTGCTGATTGGAACTCTTATCAACTGTAACCTACAGAGTTTAGCATAATGAGGAAAAAATGCAAAGTGATTAGACATCAGTGATTAAATGTTAAGGGCTGAACCATTTTCCCTCACCGCCTCATTTTTTCATGAAGCTAGAAGGTCAGGAGAGAATGAATGTAATGTGTCTGTATACAAATGGTAAGACAGGACAAGGTGAGGGGCATTTTGAGATTATTCTGGGTTTGTATTAAATTTTGTTAATTTTCAACAGTCTTTACGTTTGAAATGAACATAAGGAAACTGCATTGTAATGCAAATGCAGGTTTCCCAGAAAGAAAAAGAGACCATATAGATTTCTACATGTTTATTTCTTTTTCTTTCAGGGATTTTTTTCCTCTCTGCAAGATTCAAAAGAATGAACTGCATTTCCCTTGAAGTCAGCACTTGGCATGGGACTGGATGATGGCCTATGTGCAGAGAGCTTTTGATACAAGGGAGCAGAATTCTGCACTGTTTTCTGTGGAGGACTGTCTCATTAGGACAATGGAAAGGAGCAGCAGAGGGATGGTCTTTGAGGCACAGAGTGGTCTCTGGGTGCTGTCTTACTTGGCGGGGGCAGGGGGGAAGAAAAAGGACATACATTTTCAGTACATATGGCTACATGGCTTAAGGTTGAACTTTTAATACATTTCCATTGAACAGTGAAACTTGGGTCCTGCCTGGGAGAAAGTAATAACTCATTCTGAGGGAGAGCAGAATCTGCCAAAAAAGAGGATGGTTTTGGATTTGTTGTGTCTGATGAAGAAGTGGAAAGGATGGTCAACCTTAAATTTCAGAGCATGGTCAAGAGGTCCACTTGTTACTGATGTAATTACAGTAGCAGCAGCTGCCTCAGTGCCTTTCTCATCAACTGCAACAAAAGCCTGGTGCAAAACTTTGGAGATTAACAGATCACCATTCTCAGCCATTCCACTGAAATCAGCACTGCTGTTGAAGGCCCTGCGCATTCCTAGGCTGTTCAGATTACTACTGAGGTCATATCTCTCCTTCACTGTGAACTTAGGTAGGGACAGATCCACAAGGGTTTCAGTCATATTTCTGGAATCAGTCCATTCAGACAGCTTCTCATGCGTGAGTTCTCTTTCCAGCTATCATTTAAGAGAGAAAAGGAATTTGACGTTTACAAGGAAAAAAACCAAATAATTAACTATCAATCAATTTTATGGCAATTTAATGAATTAAACAGTTTTTAAATGGCAAATTTAACATTTAGCCAAAAGCATGAAATATAAATTGACTTTACTGATCACCAGAGGTGGGGTGTGCAAAAATATTTGAGATTTAATGCTGCAAAGTTTTGAGCACCATCCCTGCCAAATTAATTGCAAAAGAAAGACAGGGCACTCAACACCTGCAGCTGCCATCCCTTGAGGTAGTTCTTTCCTCTCTTTTAACTCAGTCTTGATATGAAGGAAATTGCTGAGAGATTGCCAGATGTGTGGCAGGTGATTTGATCCAGTTCAATAGAAACAGGTATTAAAATTGCATGTATGTCCTTGGCAATTTTAAAACAAACTGCTTCCAGCAAAATCTTTAACTGCCACACTGTGTCCTGGGCACTATGTCAGCAGGGTTCAGCTTAGATCAAATGGAGGAGAGAAATGAATGATATTCTTGACATGGTAGATGCCAAGATTTTAACAATCTTGCAATGGTAGTAACTACAGTGACAGATCACATTATTGTAGCAAACGCAGTCTCACCAAAATCCTAGTTTTTCAGACAGGAAATGAATGTGTATGGGAGCAAATAGAATGAGAACACGATGGTGAATAATCTTTCAGGCCATGGAGGTGTCTATTATCTCAGGAAGAGGCTGTGACTACTTGTGCAGTACTGGCCCTCCTGAATGTGGTGAAGGGAGGTTTAATCCCTACAGATCGTGTAGGATTGGGTGTCAGGCTTGGGGCTCTTGGAGAGCTAAGCATCTGATTATGCACAGTACCGACTGTCTTCAGTTCTTACCAAACTAAGGGCACTCAGTGTGGAGGACCTTTCTTGGGATCAGGTAAGTATTAATGGAAATTAATTGAGCTAGTGAAGAGATCAAACAGCATGTTCTCAAAGGGAAAGGTATGGTCAACAGGCTATCCTTTTAATGAGTGGGTGGTGATACAAAATGGATGTAGCATAGTTTTTTACCTGTTCGAGACCCGTCGTGCTGTCTTTGATATCATTGGGAAGGAGGATGAACATACTGAGTTCATGTTTCACATATGGCAACTCAATCATTTTCATTGTTTCCATGATGAGAACTGGAAATGTATGTCTCATGTGCATCATCTTCACAGGCTTGGTCTTGTTCTGTAAAGTATTTATTTATAAGTAAGAAATCATTCCTTGAAAGGAAGGCTGATGATGACTCAGTGCAGTGGAGGGAGAGGAAAACTTTTGCATGAAGCTTTTACAACAGTGATTTGCCATTCATTTTCCAAAGCTTTTCTTGACAGGACAATATTGGTCATCTTGGTGTTTGTCCCAGAGCATTTTGCTGGGGACTGAACTGGCTGATTTTTCTCTTCTCCCCAAAACATGCACAGCAGCCCACAGGGGAGGGAGGAAGAGAGTTAGAAATGTCTGCAATGATTAGGGGGATGGAGCAGCTCTGGGGTATGGCCTTACAACACTACAGCAGAGAAATGGCTGTGGTTTAAGAAGACAAGTGTTGTGCAGTTTTTCTGTGGTCTCCTCTCTTGCTGGCAACAAAAAGTGAGTAGCTGGTTGCTCTCTATGTCACAGCCCTTAACAGAAGATAATACTAATGTCTGAGCAAAGGGACTCATGATGAGGGGAGCTCCTGGCAAGCAGTCACCTTTGCAGGAGTATGTAACCTCTCTTAACATCCACATCCCTTCATTTAGGGAAGCAGCTGGTTTATATGTGCTGATCAGAAGGCAGAAGATACAGTTGGTGGAAATAGCACAGAGCTCTTTACTTTTGATGTGAATTAATTGGAATCTCTTCTGAATACATGTTGTTAATATTTCTTCTAGTCTCGCCCAACCATGCATCCACTCAGGGTACCCTGTTGCAGCTGTATTTGAACAGGTATGTTTGCATCCAGCTAGGCTGCGCAGCACAGAGGTCCAGGTACTGTGCTCAGCCATGACATGGCATGTAGGTCCTGTCCATGAAGCTTGGACTTTCAAAATCATGTTTTTGCAATATAGACCTTTTAGCACTGTTTTACAAAAAGGTCTTAACTAACTGTAGCGCTTTTGAAAACAGTAGCTCTTATCTGGAGCTCATTAACATTTACCTGAGCAGCATCTTAATGTTGCAGTGAACTGAGGACTGACACATTTTGCTGTAGCCAGCTTTTCACAGAGAGTCTAGTTACCACAAGGATACATAAAAGACTTATGAAATTGAAAGATTTCCACAGTAGCTGTGGTTACCAGGCTGTTTATGGTAAGAAGGATACCAGAGGAGCTTACCTTGCTCAGTCGGAATGGTTGCAGGTTTGTATTTTCTGCATGAAATTTCATTTTCCATTCTGCCTTGAAGTAAATGGCATTTACCAGAACCAGCTTGGTGGCACTTGTCACATCTTGTGAACCCAACAAATTCTTGATTTTGCCTTTTGAAATCAGAATAGTCAGGTTTCATTCCAGTGCAGCGCAGTGAGGACATACTTTGCTTGTTTTTTCTCTCAGTTCAACTCCTTAGTGAAAAAGTCCAATCCTCAATGCCCTACTCCCTAAAATACTCCCCTGACGTAAATCAGTTAGTTTGTTTACAGTTTCCAAAGCTGTTTACCACCTTGTTCTCCTGGCTAGGATTGACTCCTTTCCCAAAAATGTCACAGCTTCATGGTAAGCATCTAAAAGCAGAAAACCAGGTACTGCCTTGCCATCTGATTAAGCCAGGTAAAAGGAGGCCAGCACCTTGCCTCTGGCCAGTGCAGGATGGTACAGCTAGGTAGGCATCCCCACACACCTTGGAACACACTGGTAGGCAGAGGTGTTTCTTCCCTCTGTCCGCTCTGCCTGTGGTGCCTGGGTGCAGGGACAGGGCAGCAGTTGTTCTTGAGGACCAGCTGATACAGAGCACAGCAGGGACAATGAGACTCTCCCCAAGGAGCTCACTGAGGTCTGGATCAGGTATTTGAAGCTGCTTTAGTGTGCTACTCTTTCTCTGTCCTCCCACTGCATCTCTACTCACTGTCCATGTTGGAAGGCATGACCTGACTGCTGCAGTAACATGTGGGGAGGCAAGGGCACCTGCCCAGAGGAAATGGCAGGCTGACTGAATAGAAAAAGAAGGATGTTGGGGTTGAGATCAGCTTACCCTCAGTTTGTTTTTCAACCCAAGCATTGATTTCCTTTATGGATTGTTCTGGTGCTGTCTGAAAGTTAGCCTTGTGTGGCTCTGCTTTGTAGTAGTTCTTACTGAGCTGTATGTATATCTGAAAAATAGCAAAAACAAACAAAAAGTTTAATACTAGAGTTTTCAGTCCCAAAGAGAAGTTGTTAGCTCTTGGACTTGATATCTTCTTGGGCCTAGAGGACTGCAGGATCTTGCTTTTTACTCTCTGTTGGACTGTGAGTTAACAGTTAAAAAATAACCAAAGGACAGAAAATTCTCTTGTTGCCACTTTTATTTGGAGAAATAAGGAAGGCTGTGCACATCCCATGGATGTGTTTCTTTTAATGTCTCATTTACAATTGTATGTATTGAGGGTTCCAGTAATAAAGCCATATTGCATGAGAAGGAATCCCTACACTGCAGTCAAAGGGCAATGCATCCTTAAATACTGCAAGCAGACTGACTGGTATTCTCAAGTTAAGTTTATGACTGGAATACAGGGCTCTTGTTTGCAGTATTTAGAGTCAGCTTCAAACCAGCCCTATTAAGGGCAAGTAATTAAAATGAGAAATATTTTTTGCAACTTTTCTTACTCCTTTTTGAGATTTAACTTACAGGCTGTAATGGGAAGGTTTTTTCCACATAAATGCGGTTGGCACTTTTCAGAGAGTAGGTGCTTCTGGGTTTGTTGATGGCAGTCAGGAGCTCTTTGAAGCCAGAATGAATATCATCAGCTTGCTCGTGCTCAGTATCCTTGGAAAGAGAGACCATACATTCAGCAACTGCATTTTTGCATTAAGTTTTCAGAACATGCTAAGTGATGTATATGAGAGAGGAATTTGTGTTCCTCTTTTACGTTTTATTTTTCCAAGTTTACCATCACTGCAACTTACAGGGCTCTGTTTATGAATGGATTAACTCATTTTCTGTATAGAAAACCTTCCAGACTACCCCAGTGACTGGTCCTTCCATGCATTTTAGAGTCTGAGTGAGTGAAAGGAACTGAACTTGAACCTATTGTGAAGTATGTTGGCATTTGTACTTTAAAGAGGGGTGCACACAAGAAATAGTGGAGTCCTAAAGGTATATTTGGATATTTTGATTCTGGAGATTCTTTATCTTGGGATTTCAGTTCTAATAGATACCATTTTTCTTCTCTTTGGTCTTCCCCGAGAAGGTCTGGCCACAGAAGAACCTTCAGCTCTTGCTGCTTGAGTGAAATGAAGAACCTGCAAGCAGAGTTTCCAAAGGTAAGAAGTAGGCATGAGGGAACTGGCGTGACTTAAAGACAAACGAGGATCAAATGATTGTCTTGTTTTGCTCCTTATGATAACTCACTGTACTATTTGCTGCTTAGGTGAATAATCAAAGAGATGCTGAAGCTGTAGTATACATAAATCCCATAGAGTAACGAGTAGCACTGTCCCCCTCCCAGAGCATCAATGCAGTGCTCCTGTCTTCACACTGAAAGGCTGAACTCCCTTCCACAGATGTTGCTTTCAGCAATAGCAATGTGTTTGTGCAAACCCAAGTGGTTCTCCCCACAATAATGGTACAAAGGCATCTGAACAGGAGTGCAGTGACAGCGAGTGCTGGGCAGAGCTGAGCACCACAGCTTTCTTTGAGCCAACAGTGTGCCCATGTGGCATTAGGAAGGATTTAGTCAGGAGATGTGGAGATACAAAAGCCCTTCCTATTTTCTGTCTGGATTGTCAGGCAGTTGTTAAGGAAAGCATAAACAAAGATAGAAAGATGCATCCTGGCCAGGGGAGAGAGGGAGGGTGCTGGGACTTGCAAGCCTCCTGCCAATTAGTTAGGAGCTATTGGCATCCTCTCTTTGCTTCTCAAAGGGAATATCCCATCTGTGACAGAATCACAGAATCACAGGATAAATTAGAAGATGTAGAATAATTTAGGAGAAGTCAGGTTCAGAGAACGTCTGTGCTCAGCATGTGATACCCACAGGACACTTCCTCTTAGTGGAAAAGTGAGGGACCTGCTATGAAATGAATAAAATTTACCATTCACTTGTTATATTTTCTGGTCTGCCTTGGTTTCTTGTCATTGTAGTGGCAAGTTTTTCTATCTAACACCAAATTTTGCATCCAGGTATCCTATGGGGTGTATGCTTCATAGAGCAACCTACCTCTGCCATCTCTGTTGCTGTATTGCCTTTTGCACCCAGGTACATCAGAGCCAGAGCAGATGATATGCTCCAAGGAGAAAAGAAAATGTTTTTGCCCTTGTTGGTCTCATTCAGCTTATTGAAAAGATCAACTGTAAACTTGCCAACTGATGTTGAGGCCAGTTCCATTTCTAGAACCTGAAAAGAGGCAACAGGCAGAATTGTACTAGTTGAATGTTTAAAATTACATACATAGTGCATATTAGTGAGAAATCCTACATGTGCAAGACAATGCATTGGCACCCACTAAAACTAATAGCCCAGTTGTATGTTTTATCTTCCACACAGATACTGTTTGCCACTTGTTACAAGCAGCAATTTCTTTTTGGTTTTTTGTTATCCAGATAATATTTTCCTATAATTGTACATATGTCCTCTTTTATACAGCTGCAGTTTTCTTTGTGTTTCTTTCTGCCATTGGTTTTCAAAATGTGCAAATTTGTAAGCTGCATATTTTTCTTTCTTTTTGTCCTTAACTCATGATTTATCAAAGTAATGTTCCCAAGGGAATCTAAATGCAGTTTTAGTACATAGGTTTACAACATGCCTGCGTCTCCCACTACTTCACTTTAGATTTGTATAGAATTGAGAGCTGATACTGAGATAGAATGTATGCATAATTCCTAGGCTCATGTGCTTTTCCTGGCCAGCCACCTATTCTGAGTAGTATCATGAATAGCAAAGCTGTTATTTTCTTTTAGGTTGGTTTTTATTCATGATCTGCACCTACCACCCCTTCTGTATGTTCCAGCAATTTTATTTGCCCCAGAAACTGGAAGATTCCTTGAGGTTATGAATATTTCATACTTTAAGATGTCTGCCCAATGTTTTTTTTCCAGTCAAGAGACCAGAAATGTTATTGTTATTACTATTGTTATTATTAAGATTTATATGTATGGAAAGGAGCAACAGAAATTGTGGTTCAATCTCTGAAGTCTACAGGTAGGTATCAAGTGTTTAGCTGCCAAACCGCTACAATTCTACTGTCAGTCAGCGTGCTGTCTGTACTAAATCTGTACCACAGAGTGATTTTCTTTCCTTGGAGAACACAACTAAGAGAGCATCGGGATTGGAATTTCTCTGTTTTACGCTAATGAATACTCCTCTGAGTCCCTGACCTAATAATGTGCAGTGCTGTGCCATTGCAGAATGAAAATTGCCTTTTCTTCACCTGAAGTATGGGACTCCTTTATCAAACTGAAGATTTTATTAATAAGACAGTTACTGTCGTAAGAAAACTTTCCTCCTGTGGTCAGTTATGACCCAAATTAGCAGTTTTCCTTAGCCTCACAGATTTATTTTCTATAAGGATTGACATCTAGAAAAACATGAGGCAAGAATAATATAATATAATACTGGTATATTATAAATTACCTATACGGTTATGCAAGCCACAGATGATAACTTTTTTAAAGCATCAGAAAAGTTATTTAAATTGGCTTAAATATTTACCTCTGATCCAATGAGGGAGAAGTCTTACGTCTTGTCCTCGGCCAGGTTCTGCGTTTGTGTGTTAAGCAATGAATAAATGTAGAAATATAGTACTGCTTGCACCTCCCTTTCCTTCTTCCCTACATCCAGGTTGTTTCCGCCTACCCAAAGCTCCTTTCTACCACATCCCCAAAAGATCTTACGTAATTTTGTCCTCTTTGTTGACCTGCTTACTCTTCAGCTTTAGACATTTCAAAAGGACAATGAAATTAAAATCTCAGGTCTATTGTTACAACCCAGTAGCCAACTGACAGGATAGCAGAACAGTTCACCCATTCCAATGGTCTTCTGGTTTTGTGGACGCAACTGATTTGTTGTTTAAAATAAATGACTAGTTAAAAGGTTACACAACTAGAATGCTTGGCTTCAATTTCTGGATATACGCAGATATTGCCGGTCTGATTCTCCTCTCCATCTATGTTCATCTGTGACTCCTGGGTTTCAAAGGCAGCGCATGAGCATAAAACATCAAGCTTAGTGGTTGAATTAGACAATGGGAGTCCAGCTTCAGATTGAAGCTCATTATGAGCGTAGACAGAGGTAAAGCCAAGAAGGACCATTCAGGGTAAGGGATGGACACTCCACTGGTTTTGTTGCAGTCGTTGCAATCATGGCTGGGAAACATTTGAGAGAAACACTGCAAAACACTGAGATAGGGCACAATACTTGTGTGTAGTAAAGGAGGGCAAGAACTGAAACAAACCCACTGGGAGGGCTCGAGCAAAGATGGAGTGAAAAAATACAACAGGGGTAAACATGGCACAGTAGTTGTCACTCTGCAGTCCCAGAAGAGAAATGGGTTGCTGTTGGATGGATGGTGGAAGGAGAAGGTGTCGGCAACAACTGTAAGACCCTGGGGGACAGGGAAAGGGGAATGGAGGAAGGGAAGGAAACTGTAATGTGTGCTAAGCATTTTGCTGCAAGCCGATTACAGGAACAGAGTGGGTCAAGTCTTCTAAAAAGTGACAGAAATCAAGGTTGTGCAAGGCAATGAAGAAATGCCAGAAATTAAACAAATATTAGTTTTAGTATGATGAGTAAGTCCTCAAGAAATCAGAATAGGAGAAGGGTCAGCTGAATGGTTAGGTGGAGGGAAAGACCGAGTCGGAGACTCCAAGTCCCAGAGAAATATGATGAGAGTGAGCAAGCTAGCTCCCTTTGCTAGTCAAGATGCAAGGAAGACAGGCAGAATGAGGAAGGGAGGTGGCAAGGCAGAATGGCTGTTGACAAGAGAGAGAAAATCACACTTGTTAATTGAAAGGGACATCCAGAGGTCAACCTCCTTCTTGGAGCAGGGCTATCAGTAGATAAAGTCAGCCACAGCCCTTCTGAGGATGGAGATTCCCCAAACTTTTTAGGTAACATTCTGCAGTGCTGTTCTGCCTCACCCTGGGAAAAGGTTACTCCCTAATGTGCAATTCACCCTTCAAGTGTTGTGGCTATTGCAACTTGGTAGTGACCTAGCACTGCCAAGACAACATTAATTTTGTCATCTTTTCAATCATGCTTAAAATAGTTGAAGGAGAGAGAAAAGGTGACTCACATTTCCATTGACTTTAAAGGCCTATGAGTGAGTTTGGATGCATGTTGCCATAGCTTTGTTCCTCCTTGGCTTCCCAGGTGTGGATTTCCTGTCTTTATTCCTGAGGCACATCAGGAAGTGCTTAAGAGTCTAGGCCGTGGGGACATGAAGCCCTTGCATTAGGTGAAGCAGGGCACGGCAGAATTGCACCTGTCCGCACAGGGATCCTGTGTCATGTTTCACAACTGAGACAGACAGAAGGCGGTGCTGTTGAGGGTGTATGGGGATAGAAAAAAAGCACTTTCTTCACTACGCTTTTCCTATGCTCCTTCCCATTTGGGAAGCAGAGCCAGAGGGGACCCTGGAAGCAGCTAGCCACGGGGAAGAAAAAAGAAATAACTCAGTGTCAGTCACCTGTCTCTGTCAGGAAGAGGGAGTCCTGCCATTCGAAGAAGAGATGTTTCTAGTAAGATGCTGTTGGTGTGTGCAAGTCCCATAAGATACCCAGTCCTTTGCTCTCAGTTGTGAATTCGGAGAGTTAGAATCATGCCCTGCAAACATGCATGACTGATTAGGATGGTCTCCTTAGGAGAAAGAGCTGTGACAGGAGTAAATCTGTACTGGGAGATTTGTGTGTAATCTTTCAGAAAGCACTTAGGGAGTTAGTATTACAGGGTTGATTCCTCAATTTGGTCTTGCCTCAAACCAGTGAAATAAGTGACAAAGCAAATTAGAGTAAAGCAGTGCAGTGTTGAGCTGGAAACAGCGTTGAATGCATGAAAGGTTACAAATGAGAAGGTTTCAAAGCACATGTGGTTTGTTTTCCTCCAATTCGAGTGTAGTTCAATACTTTCCAATTGTTGTGTGACAAAGATTACAAAGTACATGTTTTAGTCCCTTTGCTTGCAAGAAAGAAACACCAGTATCAGGAACACAGAGGATTTTGCAAGTTTATTTCATTACCAGCTATGCCAGGCTGCAAATTTGATATAAAACTCACAAGAATGTGGGCAAGGTAGCCCTCCTGGGATGACCAATTTAGTGAGCTGAAACCAATGGAGATGCAGCAGCATTCTACAGGAAGGAGTTTTTCCTGTTTCTTTTCTCCTTATGTACCAAAGGAAGCATGTTGGGAATTACTGTTTCAGATCAACTTAGTCTGTTCTGCATTGTGGCAGTTCTTGTTTAGAAAGCACTGAAAAGATGCATCAATGTTGTTCTGTGCACAATTTGGTGCTTATAGTGTAGTGCTGCCATTTTCAGGTTCTTTGGCCAGGAAAATGAACCAGAGGCCTGAATTCCAGGTTATTTTTAATGTGTGCTCCCTTCTATCAGACAAGAATTTAAGAAGTGCACAGACTATTGAGATGCTCTTAGTGGTAAATATTTTGCTCATTGTTGTTGTTGCAAGAGCCTGTTTAGTAATGTTTGAGTTTCTAAGGGGAAGAGAACCTTCCCAAGAAGAGGATGCTCTTGGTCTTGTTGTGCCTGATAAAGAAGAGGAAAGGGTGATCTGCCACAAAAATAACAGTAGCACCAAGACTTCGTGATGCCAGTGATGCTGAACTGGCAGCTGCTGCCTCTGTGCCTTCTTCATTGACTTCCAGATAACACTTGTGAAAAACTTGTGACAAAACCAGGTCACCATTCTCTGACATTCCTGTGAAATCAGCTTGACCTTCAATGAAGGCATCTTGTATCCCCATCCCGCTCAAAGTAGATTTGAGGTCATATTTCTCTTCTAACGTGAACCTGGGCAGATAAACCTCCATTTTCATTTTCTCCATGATTTCTGGGCTGGTCCATGCAGACAAGTTTTCAAAAGTCAATTCTCTTTCTAGCTGCGGTTAGTAAAAAAAAAAAAAAATCAGAAAATTAGAGTGTTCAGAAACCTGTGCCCTAAGGGTTATTTCTTCTCTTTTCTTAAATGGAGAACTCTTCAAGCTGTTTTAAGATTACAAGAAAAACCGTAGTGAAAGACCAATTTGGAGACCTTTTTGACTAGAGGAGTATGTTGCTCTATGGTAGGTCAATGCAGTATTTGAACTGTTCTCATTAATTGTCAGGGAATATATCAGGATTAAATACTTGTAGAACAAAATCATCAGTGTCAAGTAACAATAGTTTTGTTGATTTGCTGTTCACATTTCTGTCTTCCCTACATTTTAGAATTTACTGAAAAGAGCTTTTTTTCTACAGAACACCCATTAATGTAATTGAGAATGTAAGTTTATTATCCAAAGGCAGGACTGGTTTCTTTACAGAAGGTGGCAGTGTCCATATGTATCAGCTCTGGACATCTTGGAAAGTAATGGGGGCTGCCCAATTAGTGTTTTGTTGGTTTTTTTTTTTTCATGTAATCATGTCTTTCTCAGTTGGTACAGACAGTGCACCTTATCAGGGCTGGCTTTCTGTCCTCTTGTTCAGCTGGAAGAAGAGCCAGTCTTGTGGGGTTTGGATTACCCGTTTCTAGGACTGATCAAGATTAGGAACGACAGAAGTACCAGCTGCCAAGAGTAAGAAATCTAGTCTGAGTTCCAAGAGGTTCAATTTCACAGTGCTAGACCAAGTTTGGGATTTGCTCTTTTTTTTGAACCTGATTAGTACCCTTCTGCCTAGAAACATGACTGCAGTCTGGTCTTTTACCTCACACATGCATAAAGTAAGTAAATAAATATATTCTCAGTTTTTCAGATTATTTATGTTCTCCGTTGCTTTACCTTTTGGAGGCCAGTGATGTCACTTGGTAGCAGGATAAACATGCTGAGGTCATTATTCACATATGGAAGTTCAAGAACATCAGTCTGTACTGATTCTATGTAGGTCCAGTTAAATTTATCACTGAGGTACATCATAGGCACTGGTTTAGTTGTATGCTGCAACAAATCAAATTAAATGTTTGCTATCTGTATTCTGACTGAACAGTAAAGGACTGAGTTAAAGTAGCATAGTGGAGGTTTATTGTATTTACTGTAGAAGCTGCCCAGAGTATCTGAGACATCCTTATAGCTCCAAGTGGTAGGACATAGGATCTGTACAGGACCACTGGTCTTCTGGAACGGCACTTGGAGGCTAGGCCAGCTATCTAAGCTGTCTCAGATGACACCCATTATAGGGAAGTTGTATTCCACTCTGATTTGTCACATGGCTAAAAATTAAAATGTAGAGAACTAACCCATACAGTTTTGTTCACCTCTTTTTTTCCCTGCCTTCAGAGAATGGAAGTTTGTTTCAAGTCAGCTTTTGACAATTTTACTTGTGCTTCAGGTAGTAGTATGTGAATGCAGTATCTGTGCTGAAGATGTACTGAAGAAAATATACTGTATACTTTAAATTAAATAACTTTCATGCCTCATGGATTTAAAGATTGACAGGAATTTCTCTCCCCTATCTTTTTAATTTTTTTCCCACTTGCAGTGTAGGATATTGGGCAGTATATTCCCATACCGTGTTTATTCTGAAAGGCCTCTGCCTGGTAGCTTCAGCTTGAAACTTTGTTGCCCAATTTCCTTTGAAGTAGAGCGCATTTATCAGGACTAGCCTGGTGAGTGAATCTATGGATCCAGGAGGCAGCAAGTTTTGGATTTTACCTAGAGAAAACAGAAGGACTTTTACACATTTGTGAAGTTTTATTGGTTTGGCATAAGCGTTGGCGCAATTTCTGCAGATATAAACCAGGGAAATTGTAAATGCCGATATAACATGCATCTAGCTTGAGATTATTTGCAAGTATGTGGTTACTGGGGTAACCTCAATTTACAAAGATTCCCATTCCACATTAAGATGGAGGACACTATTTTTAGTAAGGCTTGTCAGTAGATGACTACTTTAGGAAAACCGATCTGATTTACCTTTCTGAGGTAAATTTGTTTACCTGCCTTGGGCCCCTTGGGTACAGAGACTTTGTTCAAAGCTGAAACAGGTTATTTTTGAATTGGGAGAGGAGAGACTGGAACTTACCTTCAGTCTGGTCTTTGACATTGGAATTGATCTCTCTTCTGATTTCATCTGCTGCTCCCACAAAGTCAACTGATTGTGGTTCTGCATTGTAATATTTCTTGGCTAACTGTAAGTATTCCTGCAGTGCAAGAGAGACACTGGTCTTATGTTTGTTGCCTGCCAATACGAACACTAATAAATAACTACAGCCAAATAGAGAGAAAACATGATAAAAATTACATAGACTACAAACACAGCATTTTGTCAAAGGAACAAAGTATTTTTTAGTGAAAATACTCAATTTAAATGTTGTCACTTCATCTCCAAATCATTCTGAAATTAGATACACATCCCATAAACCTAAAATTTTAGTGTTCAAAGACTCAGGAAAAGTCTCATAGAAAACATTTACGTTAAGGATAACAACATGATTCACAGATGCAATGAAAAATATTTATAAGTACGTGGTTTATGATAAGTGGTCACAGATCATAAAGGTTAAACGGCACTATATAATCTGAATAAATGGCCCACCTACCTTACTGAAAGGCAATGATTTTTCTCCATATAACTGGTTGACACTTTTAAGCAGGTAATTTTTAGTGGGTTGGTTGATTTCGAAGTTGAGTGCATTAAATCCGCTGTGGATATTATCTGATTTGCCAATTTCTGTCTTGGAGAAAAGGAAGAAAATACCTTATTCATCTGTTGTGTAAAATATTTCAAAATTTTTAATTTTTTTCTTCATGGAGTTCCAAGTAAAGTATTTCTATTCAGGTGATCTGTTACTTGGATTGCAACACAATAGGTGTTCTAATCTGGATAGCTATTAAAACAATCATTTGAAAATATTAAAAGTTGCAGATGTGGTAAAGGCACCTTAAGTGTCTCAGAATACAAGTGTTAAGAGACTGAACTATGTAAAACATTTAAGGGATTTTAAGTGGAGATTGTGAAACCAAGTATATCCAGAGAATGAGAAACAAACTGTAATTGTTAAACAAAACATGAAGATTTGGCTATGTGTCTCCATTTATGAAAGTCAGGTGTGTTACTTGGAAAGTTTGACCCTAAATTTCTTAATCTTGCTCTTAATGCTAATATTTTTGTGATTTTTGTTTTGTTTTGTTTTGTTTTTTATGTTGCAGTAATTGAAGTAAGAAGATTAAATGAATGTGGGCTCAAATGAGCTCAAGGAAGTTAAGTTGTGAATTAGTAAACTAAAAATCTGGACCTGTGCTGTATTCATCTTGTAATTACATCAGAATCAGAGATACGAACAGACTCTTACATTTCTAAACTGCCCTACCTACAGCGCTCTATAATTCTTACAGTTTGGACAAGCATTACTCATGAGGAACAATCCCTCTCCTGTTCATGCAGTGCAAATGGGTTGTTGACATAGCCCCTAAAATAAATCTTCCCGCCATGGGATTTGGCTGTGGGATGTGGATCTAAGTTCCCATTCATCAGAACTCGTGGCTGCTGGGTCTTTGTGGGCAGACTGCAGAGAAATGGCTCACTCCCACAAAGAATAAGGATTACGGGAAAGAGCAGGAAGAAGAGCTTGACCATGGTTGTACTGTCAGTGAGGAAAAACAGCCTTTACTGACTGTTCAGTCGATGCAATCAGAGGGATTACATTTGCTTTTCTGTATTTTTCTGCTATGTTAAATTACATATACTTTGGTATAAGATACCTGCCAGTATGTCAAATAAATATCTCAGGAATATAATGATTTCTATTCCTCTAAGATTTATTGCAAGCAACTGGTCTACCCTGGGAAATTCCTACATGTCAATTTTCTTAACTATTCAACTGAAATAGAGACTAATTTCTGAAACATACCAAGCATAGGTAGCCTGGAAAATTGAATATTCTGGTTTTTGTTGTCTTGATGCTGCAATCAAATGTGTGGAAGAGCAGCTCTGTTCTTGTGATTAGTTCTCTGAGGTAGGAGCTGTGCCTGTTCAAAGAACATGTTGTTGCTAAATAGCTAGCTGTTCAACAGTAATAATTTGAGAAAGAAATCTCTCCTCAGAGCCAGGAAATGAAAAAGATCAAGAGATCTATTGACAGAAAATGGTAACATTAAATTTTAGATTTTGCAAATTTGAGGTTAGTTTTTGCAATTCTGCCTAAAAAGGGGAAGCATGTAATAGGTATTGCATTAGGTGACGGTATCACAGGATGCTGTACCAACTAACTGTGTACACTACAACTGAGGAAAGCAAACATAAGCAAACACAAATATGGAAGGAAAAAACAAGGAAGAGAAGATGTAACCATGCCCACAGCTTGATCACTAGACTTGCTGAGATACCTTCTGGAAACAAGCATATCGATTTGATAGATACTCTTCCATTCTGGAATAGACTTGCATTTTTATGGTTGTGGTGACATTTCTGGCTCCTTCAGCTTTGTTAAAGTGAAGTACCTATAGTAGAAAAAGCAATAATAAATGCAATGGAAGAAAATTTTCTGTTTCGGTAGAATCTTTCAGTGACATCATGGGATGGTGATGGAGTCAAATTCAGATTTTATTCTTGTGTCCAGCCCTGACTGAATATGAAATCATTGGTTAGGTCTTGAAGCCTGTGTGTACAAAATGTCTTGCACACACTAAGATGAGGGCTGCAGGGCAAAACTCTCATGTACTTGGCCTTTCTAGAGGAGTCTGCCTGCTTTGAGTTATGCCCTGGGCTGACCCGTTAATAGCTGGGAAGACACACGTATCTCCAGATGCAAACTACCAAAGCAGAAGTCTAAATGGAGAGCTGCTATGTGCCAGAAGGCATGAAAATGATGGAGGCATTTTCATGCCTTAAATCCCTTGCTCTGGGCACGTGCACCTTACCCAGGCTACAGAAGGGTGCATCTAACCTTGTAACATTTTTCAGAAGACCTATGCTTTTTTATTGTTTTCCCTTCTTTCTATCAGAAGTTCACTCCTTTGCTCCCCTACTGACCTTTTGTCCTGTAAATCAGGAGTTAGATCACTGCCTTAACAAGTGGGACAACTTCTGCCTTAGCACGTGCAAACTCACAAGCCTTACCTAGTTTGATGGAAGCTAGGTAACTCTGTGTTGGAGCTGCTCTCACTGCCGCCTGACAAAGCTATGAACTTTGCACAAATACAACTTAGGGATTTCAGTAAATAATTTTGCCTGTAAAATACATACCCCAAAGAAAGGGCTGCAGTCTCACCGTGTTTCTTCTCTGAACTTGTAGGTGTGGATTTATGTTTAATAAAGTGCAAAACTTATTAATAACTACAAGGGAGAGTCTTTTTGTGGGAAGTAATTTCTGAAGAGGTAAGATGTGAGATGGAAATTGTCTGTGGCAGAGTAGAAGGAGAATCCAGGTCTCCCACTCCCTAATGAGTGCTCAAGTTACTGAACTTTGTGATAAAGATCCCTTATTTCTGCTTTGATTTATTTAAAGCATTTAAAAGGCTTAAAAGGATTTAAAAGGAGACAATGTCACTAGTGCCAGTTCTCTCATTTGTTGGGGGCCCGTTTCCAGAGGCTAGAGTACACTAGTTCTTTGACCTGCACAAGTGGAGAACTGGTCTAGTTATTGCAGTGCACATCAGGGATGAAACGGGAGCTGGCACATATGTGTGTAGAGTTTTGTTGAGAGTAATTTTTCTGCTTATGGCTTTCCTGTGTTCCATCACAGTAAATTTCTTGTATAGAGGATGTTATTTCAAGAGATCAACCCTTTCAGACAGCTACCATTTGAAGCCCAGACTCACCTTTGCCATCTGATCTGCAGTGTTACCTTTGGCTCCCAAATAAACAGTAGCCAGGGCAGATGACATACTCAAAGGGGAGAACAAAATATTCTTGTCACTATCTTCCTGACACTCATGTTTGTAAAAGTCAAGAGCAAAGCTTGTGTTTGCTTTATTCAAAGCTTCCATTGTTCTGAGCCTGCACAGAAAGGGAGAAAACATACTATAAGCAAACCACTAATTATGACTGCTATGCACCTGCAAGTTTCTCTTCAGTTTTTTAAGTTTCTTTTGTGATTTAAAGGCTTTCTAAAAATATTTATCTGTGTGAAGAACAAGGAGGATTAACTGTTATAAGGTCATGTAAGTTTTATCATGTCCTCTTTCACTGATAACACCAGCTATCAATTAGGTTAGGGAAAAAGCAGCCTCCAACCTTGTATTTGTTCATCAGGACATTTATTGCACTGTCCTTTACAGCATCTTGAAGTGACAGTTGATAATGTTACTCACCAGTACCTGTGCTAGAGGATACTGAGAGACTGCCTCTTATGACAACTTTTATGCATCAATTTATGCAAGAGCCTTTAGATGCTCACAACCGTAGTGAACAAATACTCTGGTAACAGTCAAGACTATTCTCTTAGGACAGGACAAAATACTCCTTCCAATGCTTGGGCAAGCACCACCCCAGCTGTTACATGCTAAGCACCCTGGATTTCTCTTTTGGCTTTCAAAATGTCCTGAAACTCTGTCTTACAGTGCTAGCCCAGGTCCCAGCTTCACAGTTCTGCAGGACAAGGTTTCCATATTCAGTAGACCACAAATACTGCTATCTGTCAATTGCATTACAGGTTTAGCTGAGTGCTCTAGGCAGGGATTAAGGGCTATTCAGGTTGGTACAGGAAGGCCTTAGAATAAAGGAAGTTTGTGTCCTGGGTAGCTTGCGAACCAGGACCTGACCTGATGTTCATAAGAAATAAAGCGCAGAAGAACAAATTAGCTGACTTAAACACATTGTTTCCCACTTTGCTATGATATATGTGCTAGTCAGTGAGCTCTAGAAACTGTAGAACTCTGTACAATGAATTGCTCTTCCTATATATTTTTAAGACTTCCACCTTCTAGACTGTGCCTGTGTCATCTTAGTCAATTACTTTCCCAAGCGTTTGTTGTTTCCAATTCAGATCCCTGCATCCTTTTTTTTCTATGCATTTGTTAACAAACCAACACCATCCAAGAGTATATGGAATACATAATATCTAGAAATCATTACAGTACCTTGTTTTGTGTAGGGAGAAACACTGCTGCTCTGGGTGTCTCCAAGGTTTCTGCAGTTCACATGAAGGGTACAGTGAATTTATAGTGTGTCTGGCCAGTTCTGCAAAGGTACTTATGACTCATGCCTGTGCAATTTATTATGTCCTGGAAGCCTCATCCCTGTGGAAGAACTGAATCATCTCAGAGTAGGATGTGAAGTGATGGTGAGAATGATACCATACATGAACCTTACAAAACTGACTGCAGAAGTATTTCTATAAACACTTTTGTGGCAACAGGCTAGTAACAACTTGAACCCATACTACTTTAAACAACCCTTCTTTTGCGGTTTGGAGGGTTTTAAAAAAAAAGGCAGTTGTTGACGTACTTCTTTTACGATTCATCTAATAGAAATTATTTTTGAAGAACAGACAGACAGAGAAAAGGCAGTGACTTCTTATGTGTGAGATTTTCTATTGTCCATTTCCTACTGAGAAAGTATTTGTCACTCATAGTGAGTTTCTGTTTTAGAAAAATGTTTTTTTGTTAATGTTGAAGGATTCTACAACCAGGGAAATGTTGTCACCGTGAGATAGAGAATGTTGAGAGACAGGTACCAGACTCTTGCTTTTATTATCAGCAGTGACATTACTACAACCTGGTGTGAGTCTTAGACAGTTTTTCTTCTGTTTCTGTTTCCCCACCCTAATCTGAAAGCTGCGGTTTGACCAATCTAGCACTTCAGAGATCTAGTGTTTATTTTCTATTCCAAAAATGGATATCCTGTCAAATGCTCTTTTTCTTCTTGTCTTGGCTACTAAAATACCTCCTTCCCCGATTTTCCTTGCAGTTATGCTGTCCCTTTCTCTGTTGTCCTTTTTGTAGCTGTCCATCCCCACCCTGGCCCCTAACTGAAACACCCTGTGTAATCCTCCCCTTGCCCTTTATTTCATTCTTTACCTGTCTGCACTGTTAATACCACCTTGAAAACCTGGATAGGAGCTGTTTGTCTCTCCAGAGCTGCCTCCTTGACTAAGCAAGACTCACTCAGAAGCTCTATCTCCTTGGCATAGACTGCCTTCTGAGAGCTTTCTTCTGGCCTGTTGTCTATGAGCATACATTTAACATGGATTTACATTGTAGGCCAGTGGCTGGCACAGAGGATCCTGTAATGAGGAAGGAGCCACAGGAGTATCTGCAAAATTTGGTGTAGGGCATAGGAGGGTGCAACTCAAAGGGTCCCTTGCCAATGGTGAACCTTCTGCATCAATATAATCTGGGAACTGAAAGCTTTATGAAAGTTGCTTTCCTACCTATGCAAACTGCAGGACTTCCATCAGAAGGTGTTTTCCTGGCCCTCCGGTCCCTTGAAATTGTAGCTACACAAAGCCAGCATAGTGTGACTTGTAATTAGATGCATGTTACATTTTCCAGAGAGCAGCATAGTGTAGGAGAGGTGTTCACTGCAGAATTAATTGCTTCCATTGCGCCTGGGAAAGTTTTAATCTGTTTACATTGGTCTTAAGTGATTTCCAAAACCTAAATGATTTGCGTAATCTTTGCAAATTTAGCCATCTTGTTGAATGAGTGATAGATACACTGGATACACTTCATCCCTTAAAGCAATTGCTGTGGATTTTCTGGTTTCAAAGCAGGGGTGAATTTAATTTGCTAACTTGTAATACTGCTTGCTGCTTTACAAGAAGTGTCTAAGGTGTTCTGTTTATTCAGAAATGCTGAGTTAGACTGAATGAGAGGCTTGTGCCTTTGTACAAGGTTTTAAAGCTACCTTTATAAAACACCTCTTGAAAGGCATGGCTGGTCATTAGCAAAAAAAAAAAAAAAAAAGCCTAACAAGTAACTAAAATTATACTTGTCTCAAAAGCAACATATGCTAAATCAATGTGATGGATTGATAACGTTTTCCAATGTGCTTTTAAATTAGATCCAGCAGAGGACACGGCTCAACGGGTGGTACTACTGCTGACTCAGTAGCACCGGTACTCTCACTCCCACACTATACTAAGTCAATACAGCAGCACACTAAAAGACTTATATTTATATTAATAGTATCCTTCCTGTGGGAAGTAAACCCATGGGCTCTTTCACTGTAGTCATCCATGTTTCCATTTGGTCAGGACAAATACTGGCAGCACATCAGAGCCCTGGCCATATCTCAGCTATATAATACATTTCATTTTCCTCCAGTTTCAATGTAACTTAGCACAAGTCATTGTGAATTTTCTACACAGTATGTTGCTCTGTTCATTAGCACCTGGGTTCAGGAGTAGGTGAAATCCTTGATATCTAAACAGAACATTATAAAATGCTCTATAAAGGTTCTTGAGGGTCTTGAGAGAAAGACTTTCTGTTACAGAAAAAGATGATAGCTTCTGTTTTCACATAGTATTTTAGGATACAGCTTTCCATGGCTGGTTTTCATATTCATTGGTAGCTTAGTTTAGCTATGAACTCTATAATTCATGGAAATCCAATTTAATTAACATGTTCTATATTTCAGGTAAATCAAAAGAAAAAATGATATTTTAAAGAAAGCTGTTCAGTTTCCCTGACAGTTTCAAATACTTTTTTTTTTTTTTTTTTTTTTTTTTTTTTTTTTTACCACTATGAGCACTGTTTATTTTCCTAGAAAGGAAGAATTTCTGGTTCCATCAGCAGAACACTGGTCAGATTTTTGACTCAGCCAGAGCAGGCCAGTAGACTTCAAACATGAAGGGATTTTAAATGTCCCCAGACCTTTAAAAGGACTTCAGGAGGTACAAGGAGCATGGGAAGGAAAAGGGGTTTGAGATCTGAGAATATTTTAATCCCTTCAGAGGTCTGTTGAAATGTTTTTTTAAATCTCTGTGTGATTTAAAGTTAAAAATTCTAAGTAGGACAGGGACACAGAAACTGAGATAATAGTAAGATATTGCTTAGTGAGCAATAAGTGAGATAATGCTGAATGACTAGATAGATGAACTTTTCTGTGCTAAGGATGACTCTTCTGGGTAATGCCTCTTCATAGTGTACTTCAGAGCTAGCATCAGCTTTTCGTAACTTTGTCAACTTAAAAATAAAAGGTATATGCATCACCTAGACTGGCTATAACAGATTTTGATTTGTGCTGTAACAGATTTTTATCTGTAGGATAAGTTTGTATCATCCTGAAATCTCAAATAGTTTTTAAGTGTAAGAGAGATTACTTGAGTATCTTTTTTCCCTTTAAAACTTTGGTTGAGAATACACGTGTCTTTATTTTGAAACAGAGTAGATAGCTATCTGTTGTGTACGTCCTACGAGTAAGTTTGCAAGCCTTCCCTTGCCAAGCGATCCTTGCTGACATACTCTAACATTATTTAAAATCTTACGAGTTCCCAGAGGGTGTGGTGAGGTTCCTGTATAAATATTACTGAGGCATTTTGCTCCACACCTGCAGAAAGCAAAGGTGTGGTGAAGTCTGACAGTACTGGCACAATTCATTATACTTTACTATTACTTCTACATGCTTTGGCTTAGACACTGTAATTAATAAAGGTAGTGTTTGTCCTGAGAAATTCAGCTCTGTTAAGAAACGCAACACTTCTGAGAAAGGATTGATCTCTATATCTGAAGAGAGATAATTTATCTGTTAATGAGTATGCACACTATTTTCACATATGCAAGGGTGCAGTTTTCCTTTGAGTGACTCAGGCTGTGAGCATTTTAAAAATATCCCGGGTAGCAGTTAACATCAAAAATATGAAGAGTGGCCTGAATTTCTCAATCATGATACACAGTATTGCATTATGAGTAATGACATATGTGCAGCTTCTATGCACTTTAGCCGAAACTTGTCATTTTGCTGAAGATATCTCTCAAAGGGTGTAACTGTACGTCAACTGTACGACTACTGAATTAGAAAGCTGATCCCTGCTTTGTATTAATGGGCGTTTCCCAGGCTGCAGTGATATGATGCAAAATGTGCCATGCTGTGGGATTAAGAAGGTGAATATCAAGTCAATGTATCTTCAAAACACATTTCTAAACAAGAATGCATCCTAAATAAGAGCCCTGTGCTGGTGTACAAGGTATAGAGAAAGGGCTCTTTTTTAAGAAACCCATTTAAGCATTCACTATTTTTTCACACAGCTCGACTGCAAATATTTTTGCCTGGTGGAATGACCAGGAGTTTCACAAGGCAGCTGGCATTTTCAGAAGTTTCATTGGAATAATTTCCCTGATACTGACTTGTGAAAGTGTACAGGAAATCTTAGCTATTTACTGATCTGCTTGGCACCTGCTGGCCCTTCGTAGTTTCACTCTTTTTAGGCTACCCTTGGGTCTGCTCTGAACTACCTGGTTAAATTCACATACAAAGGCAGTAAGCCTTTTTCCTGGAAGAGAGTAACCCCAAAAAGGTCTCTTGGAGTGGCATTTCCCCCTAGACTTACAAGGACCTTGGGTGAGCTGGAATGTTGTTAGTATCATTTGAACATGTCTTACCAATGACTTTGCCATGGCAAGATTCTTCCATCTTTCAATCTCTCATGTTCTCTGCCTGTTGCACAAAGGATCATAAGATGTCATAATACTTCTCACGGTCCTACTGTGTCTGTTAAGTGTTGTTGTTATATGTGTCTGTATTCAATTTATGTTCTTTTTTTCTCCTCAGCGCTGGGGGGGAAGGGGGGAGTGAGCAGCTGTGTGGTGCTCAGTTGACCTCTGAGCTCAAAACAAAACAGATGGCAGAACATTAAAAGCCTCTTATAATGGGTCCTAAAGCTGTGAGTCTAAGCTCTCTTCCATACGTGTGCTGAAGGAAATACTGGGGGTAAAAGAGAGGGTAATCCACTTGTACTTCATGACACAGCAGAGGGCCAAAGTCTCTGGGACATGGTGCTGACTATCTTGCTGCTTTGGGGATGGAGAGAATAAACTGTGGCCTCCTCTGTTGGCACAAAGGAGAGGACTTGTTCCATGCTGGGTGATGGAGGTCTGATATCTGTCACCCAAGCTGGGGCTACATCCAGGCCTGTCCTTTAGAGGCCTGTCCTTTAGCTGCCTGTTATTACAGAAGCTACAGTGCCTTGGGTTTTTAGCTATTAGACACATATTTCTCTGTCTGAGATTTGAGGACTCCAACATCCATTTCTTAGTGGGTGTGTGATTTGCCAAGTCCCGGAATGATTACAAAGTTTTCAGTCTCTGAAAACATAGAACTAAGAATGCATGCGTTTGTTTGGGTTTTTTTTTCATCCGTGTATTAGAGATGGATGGACTGCACAGCTGGTTAAAGAAGTGACGACTAAGGACAAGAATATGACTTCTCATTGATGTGCTGGCAAGAGAAGTCAGGAGAAATCAGGAGGCAGCACTGAATCTATCTGTCTGCATATGGGAGCATCTTCCATTTGTGAAGAAGTATGTTTTAACTGATAAGAACTACAACAGCATATAAATAGTGCAGTTTTAGAACAAATCTGCTGAAAATTAAGCGTCCTGAGGATTTTAGATGTCCTATTTCCATGACCTGATCAACAGAAACTCCAGGACAATAGTAAACATATTGCTAACCCTCTTGCAATAAATTCCCCTATTTGTTATCTCCTCACCAGGAATTGATTAAGATACAGGAAAGTGAAGGAAAATATTTGAACTATTTATACACCACTGAAGGTGGTGTCATGTTATCTTTCTTCTTTTTCAAGATCATGTTTGCTGCCAGCAAGTTATGCCTTCTAGGTCCTGCCAAAGAATGTGTTATCCTTGGGGATGGGGGAAGCCAAAACAGGTAGAACAAGCAAAATACTGTGCACTGAAACTGAAAAAACATTCCACCACAGACCACTCAGCACTGGTGTCATGCTGTGCATACTGGGGTCAGGAAAGAGCATAGCTTTCCTGCAGTAACTTCATTCCCCAAAACCTTTCTCTTTCACTCTTCTAGTATTTCTCCATGACAGTTTCTCACAGGTCTGTTTCCTTTCTTGCTTCAGTGACAAAGAGAAGAAAAATTCATTCCAGAGAGAAACTATAACTTGTCATAGACATTGCTTCTCTTAGAAGGTTTATTCTCTTTAGTTACAAAATAAGAACCTATAAGGCTTTATGAACACACCACAAAGATAACAAGAAAAGTCCTTCCTATTTCCCATTCCCATGTGTTCTCTGAGGCAATTTTGTGTCTCAGTGGGATGTAGATTCTGCACGTATCCAGCTGCCTTCCAAACTGCTTATCAACTCCTGCTTCAGAGAGACTGGCTGAATCATGGTTTGCGCTAGAAGCGTTATATCTGACTAGTTTGAGTTGAATGCATGAAGGATTATGGGTCATGCTGTCCTTTCCTAGCAGAAAATTGGTCTCAATATTGTATTTAGTCCAGAGTTAGGACAGATGGTCATTCCTTATCTCTCTGTAAGCAATGAAGCAACTCTGATAAAAGAATCATAGAATATCTCAAATTGGAAGGGATCCATAAAGTTCATCAAGTCCAACTCCCTGTTCCTCGCAGGACTACCTAAAACTAAACCATATAACTAAGAGCATTGCCCAGATGCTCCTTGAACTCTGACAGGCTGGGTGCCGTGACCAGTTCCCTGGGGTCGCTGTTCCAGTGACCAACCACCCTCTCAGTGAAGAACCTCTTCCTAGTGTCCAGTCTGAACTTCCCCTGATGCAGCTTCACTCCATCTCCTCGTGTCCTATCACTGCTCTCCAGAGAGAGGACATCAGCACCTCCTGCTCCACTACCTCCTTGAGGAAGTTGTAGACTGCGGTGAGATCCCCCCTCAGCCTCCTCTTCTCCAAGCTGAACAAGCCAAGTGACCTCAGCTGCTCCTCGTAAGTCTTGCTTGTGAAACCTTTCACCATCTTGGTTGCCCTCCTCTGGACACACTCTAACAGTGTGATGTCCTTCTTATATTAAGGCGCCCAAAACTGCAGACAGTCTCACCAGTGGGGTGTAGAGTGAGGCAGTCACCTCCCTCGACCGGCTAGCTGTGCTGTGCTTGATGCACCCCAGGACACAGCCCTGGCCCTTGTGGCTGCCAGGGCACACTGTTGTCTCATATTCAGCTTGCCATCAACCCAACCCCCCAGATGTCTTTCTGCAGGGCTGCTCTCCAGCCTCTCATCCCCCAATTTGTATGTATAACTAGGATTACCCTATCCAGGGTGGACTTGAAATACTCCAGATGAAATTCATTTGCTTAAACATGTTTTTATTATGATTAAAGGAGCAAAAGAGTACAACCACAAGACCCATTACATATGAATACATTGAAAAGAATTTGAACAGTAACATGCCATAATTGGTCATGACAATTGAGCCCAAAATATTTAAGGAGAAATATGAATTATAAGATTTCTATAATGCATGTTCACAAAGTGAGGAAGAGCCTTGCAGTATCAGAAGCACAAAGAAAAAGCAATTGCCTTGTCAGAGTAGGAATAGTTGGTGACAGTTTTGAGTTTAATGTGGAGCTTTTGAGTGACTAATTCCAAAGGGGTCACCACATACTTTGGCCATAGAGAAACCTGGCTTAATTAAAAGTCTGCATTTTTTTTCCATAAAACTTCTGGTGGTAAATGGGGTTGTGTTTTTTCAGTGTGATGATTCAGCACTATTAATAACTTGCACCAGGAACATTTCTGTTCACGCTCATGCTTTCTTCATCTATGACTAAATAATATTACTCTGCAGAAAGGAAAGGCAAAGGGCCTCTGTTTCCATGGCATGATTTCTCTCACTTAACCTTTTTTTTTTTTTTTAAAAAAAGCTTTCTGGTTTTAGAAATTATGGATGAAAGAGAGAGTATGCATTTCTTTTTACCCCTGATACTACAGTGCTCTGGGTCTTGCTGTGAGGGACAGAAATTCTTTCAGCTTTCTTCTCTTTAAGGGGAGACACATCTACCAAAGAAGAGGATGATGTTGGCTGGGTTGTGCTTGATCAGGAAGAGGAAAGGGTGATCAACCCTAAACTCTGAGACGCTTGTAGCCTCCATCCCAGCTTCTGCTGAGCCTACCACCTCACTGCCTGCTTCATAGATTTCCACAAATGCCTCATGGATGGCTTCAGACATCTTCAGGCTCTCCGCTGAAGAGATGCCAGACAGATTGGCTGAAGGGCTGAACAGGTCGGTCATACCCAGGGCCATTAAAACAGATGTGAGGTTATATTTTTCCTCTATCTTCATGCGGGGGAGGTACACTTTAGTTTTCCTCTCTTCCATTATACTAGGACTGGTCCACTCAATGAGTTTTTCAAAGGTGATTGCCGTCTCAAGCTGCAAGGAGACAAGTAAATGAGATCTCTAGGATGAGAGCACATCTTACTTTGTGGCAATGCAGTACTAGCGGTACTGGCATGGCATTTTTTCTAGGTATATACAGATTGCTGTATCTAGGAAAGGAAAGCAAACTATGACTCTTTCTTCTCTGCTCTGTCCTACTTTCTATTTCTTCAATAGGTGCACTGCCAATTAATTTTCTTAATGAGATGGCTACTCAGCAAATTTCACCTAAAGTGCTTCCTTATTTATCTTCTTTGCTTGGGAAATGTATTGCAAAAATCATTCCGTGCTTTTGAATTTTAAGCTCTATCTACATTTAAGACCTGCAAGTAACCAGGTGTTATTAGTTACTACCGAGGATATTTAGCTGTGTTCAAATACCTCTTCATTTTTATAATTTAGATTCTTTGAGTTAGTGTACAAACATTTCAATGAACTCTCATTTGTTACATAACTTTTCCTGTTCAGACTAAATACAGTCCTGCTAATGACACTATTCCATGCCTGTATTCTGTTCATATCAACAATAGCATGCCATGCACATCTTATTTTCTGAAATTGCTTGATCCATTCCAGTACCTCTTATATTCAAATAAGTTTTAGATAGTTAAAATTTTGAAGGTATGAAAAAAGCATGTTAAGCACTGCCAAACCAAACAATAATTACAAATAGTAAAGCTAACATGAACTTCCCAGGAACCTCATCAGTGTGCAAGAATGGAGATACAAAACCTTTGAAGTTCAAGCTGCTGGAGTAACAGCTGCTTAGCTGAGAAGAATCTGTTCTGCAGTGATCAATATTTAACCCACTAAAGCAGTTCCTTAAACAATTCATGCTCAGCACAAACTATTGCAGGACTATTGAGACAGCTGCATGCTTCTATGCAACAATCCCATGTTGTCAGTGTTCAGATCTGTGCTGGTGAAGTGTTTTAGGATAACTTTATTGTGAAGGGCTTTGCAGCACCTAAATTTCACGGTGTTTATGGTTTTTCTGAAACCTAACTGCCAGGGCCATACCTGCTCCAAGCCAGAGACATCATCAGGCAACACGATTAACATGCTCAGCTCCCCACTGGCATATGGAAGTTCCAGGATCTTAATTTTCTCAGAAGCTATCACTGCCACTTTGAATGAACCAATCTGATACATCATCTGCACAGGTTTGCTTTCTTGCTGCAAAACCAAATAAGATAATATAGTTTTCATAAAGATTATTCTTAGAGTGTAGAAATATCTACTTATGGTTAAAACTACTGACTGCTCTTGTTCAGGAAGATTGTATAATAACTTGTCTACTCTCCTCATAAACTCTAGAAGATGACACCTTTAGGGTGATATATGCTCAGGTACCTCAGTTATTCTGAAAGGCACTTCCTGGGTGTCTTCATCCTTAAATGCTTTTTCCCAGATTCCTTTGAAGTAAATGGCATTGACAAGGACCATTTCAGTCTGGGGATCCACAGAGCTCGGCTGAAGTATATCTTTGATCATTCCTTTAAGAATGTGTAAAAAAAGAGAACACATGTATATAACACATCTGTGTATAACACGTCTTGACAATCACGTTAAATGAAGGGTATCACATTTGTGAGAAGGGGGGTGTAGGGCAGGAACACTGTTTCAGTTCTGCAGCTGTAATCTTGCACTTCTGAGGTTGATTTGTTCACTCCTGTTTGTAATAGCTGTTGTTTCTTTCACTGTAAAGAATTATAATGAGTGATATAAGACCTGGAGATTTACTTGTTACTAAGTGAGTAAACCTGTATATTTTGTGACAATAGGAAGAACCATTGGAACCTTTTATCCCAAGATGGTCTCCGACACAAATGGTAAACATAAATAATTCTTGCTTCAAATCAAAGTTGAAAGGAGATGTCTATATAAAGAAGACAGCAGGAAAGGAAACCAGTTTACCCTGCTTTCTTCTACTGTGTTCTTTTTTGTTCTGTAGTTCTCATGCACACATCAAGGTCCTCCCTTAGTCCTTTCCCACCAGTAGGCTAATCATGGCCTGGTTTTCTCCTTCAAATATGACACTACACCAGAGGTTGTGTGAGTGAATATTTTCATTTCCGTTAAAATTCAGCATCTTTTTTCTGTGTTTGCTCTTCAGGACATGTATTTCAAGCATGAGGGAAAAGAATGTTTTGAAGGGACCAGGAAGAGACTGGAAGAACAGAGGAACCACATGGGGATGCAGTAGAGTGATAATCCCAGCTGTGGTATACTTCTTTCTATGCATTTCATACACCATTCCTTAACTCTGTGGTTTTCCATTGCCCTTTACCTGTTAAGATTTCTCAAATACCTTATGAGTTCATGACCTACTCAACAGGCACACAACTCTGGGAAACTTGAGGGCAAACTGCACTGATCAAAGGATACCAGATTCTCAACATTAGCGTCAAACCACTTGTCAGTGTGTACAAAGCATATTCTAGTGCTGTCCCTTCCATCAGGGCTGGAAGTATTATATACCCACAATGGACCTACAGGTAGAGAGTCCTCTGAAACGGACATATCTGAGGAAAAAAAAAAATCATTAAATGATAATTCCACATCTGGGAACTGATTTGTTATCCAAGAGAAGGAAGAGAGGAAGAGGTTCTGGGTTTTTTTGTCTCCTGACTTAAGCATTCTTCATATGCTGTTCAAACATGGTGACAGAAGGGAAAATACCTGTGCTGATACTTGGCTTGTTCTTACCATTTGTCTGACTTTCAACCCAGGAATTGATGAGTTGTCTGGCTTGATCTGCAGCTGTTTGAAAGTTGATGCTTTCCAAGCCTCCTTTATAGAGTTCCTTCACACATTGTAAGTATTCCTGAAAAGGAAGAATATGTCATTTTCAGATGAGAATGTCAGCATTTTGTAAATGTGAAATGCAAAACTGAGATTAACAGATATGAATAGTCTGCTTATTAAGGCTAATCAGTAAGGCATGTTTCTAGTTCATAAGCATCTTAAGATTCATTGCTTCAAGCAAGAGTATGTGCTCAAATTTTAAAAAATATTTTCCAGAACTGAGTTTGATCTAAAAATGACATTCACTTCAGTTGAAGTACTTTTCATGTTGCCCACTTCTTAACTTTTTTATTTTGCAGTGGTATTTTCCTTTAATTTCAAACTGAATATGCCTTTTCAGTAGGAAAACTTGGAATACTTTTGAGAACCTGAAGTCTTTTTTCAGATTTATTTTACAAGTTGAGACAACAGTTGGAGTTAACTCTTGCTGCCAAAAGTTACCCTTATCAATTATACTTTGACATGATTGGATCATGATTGTACTTTGCACAGCTTTTTGGCTAGGCACATTTTTCTCAAGACTGTAAATAAAAAGTTAGGGCTGTGATAGAGAGAAGTTGTGAATCCTGTCTTCCATATGGAAGAAAATTTCTTCAGCAGAATCTAGACTTCTGACAGTGCTTTTGCATTGCAGAATGGTGCAACTTTGACATGGGAATACACTCCAATCAGATTTTAGAGCAACTCACCGGTAGGATTGGGTATGTCTCTTCAGCATAAAGTTTACTGGCAAAGCTGAGTGAGTAATTGTCACTTGGTTTGCTGATTTGGATGAGCATGTCTTTAAGTGAGGTGTGGACGCTTACAGATGTGCCGCACTGAATTGTTAGCATAAATACAAATAAAAAGATAGATGATGTTATTCTAGTTTTAGTACTTGGTAGGTTTTTCATGCTACATAAGAAGAGTAGAGTAGTTAAGACGCTTCTGCTTACAAAACTGTGGTTCATCCTGTATGTCTCGTTGCTATAACTACACTGATGTAGTAATTTTCTAATATATACAGTTCTATGCTGGTTTTCTACTGTAATTTCCTCATACCTCTTTCTGGAAGACTTAATCACCCACTACAGTAATCTAGCGCCAGCACATCAAGTAGGCTTTCCTCCATTCCCAACCAGTCCCATTTAACAAGCAACATCCAGCTACCTTGCCTAAGCATACAAATAACTATAATTACCCCTATTTTCCCAATATTATGGTGCTGAGTTTCATCTTATGCTTTTTCTGAGTTCTCTGTTACCTCCTTCTCTCTCTATTCTTATGAATGAAGTGTTCCCCCAACTGCAGGATGCAGAGCACTAGCTGCTCATTGGGGAGGGGTTGGAACTGCTGAGAGACTGCTTTATCTTCTAGATTTTGCTCCCAGGAGAAAGTGACAGAGAAGTAGATGAAATTATTGCCGTACCTGAGATTCAATAGACTCTCCAAATCCTGTGATTTTATCGAAGTGGACAACCTGTAATTAGAAATAACAGTAGTTGAAATAGAAGGTATGACAAAGAAAGGTTATACAACTAAGGTAATCACATGATGTTTGAAGTAAACCTATTGGCTAATTGAGAAACTGCATGACTCAAAAGTTGCAGTCCATCTGTACCATCTGTGAATAGCGGTGCCTACTGTTGATGGCTTCGATGATCTCTTTTTCTATTGAGCATCTAGAAATCAGCTCCCGTGTGTGTTATTAATAACTTTCTTCCAGGTAAGAAACCAGCCACTCTCTGTGAAGGAAGAGAGAGCTGTAGGAAACTCGTGTGAAACAGTTTACAGTCTGTAGACATGTTTTGGCTCTTTCCCTGGAGATTTTATCTACTTTCCTTACTCTAAACAATGGACCACTGAAATGTATGGACCACTGCAATAATTCTCTTTTGAGAGACCGCTAACAATGATAAAATTCAAATTTAAATCCAGTTTCAAGATTTCTGGCTGATGCATTTATTTAGCACTATGGGAGTTTGAGGTGGCTACAGCTTTTGATAAATTTGGATCCAGATTTTTTAGCCTCTGATTCTATTGAGCAGCAGGAAGGTTTAAATCCTTAACTGTAGCCTCACCTTTTCTATCTGAGCCCTGGTGTTTTCTCTTGCACCTAGGTAGACCATGGACAGAGCTGAAATGATGCTCAATGGGGAGTAGAAGATGTTCTCGTTGACATGCTGGACTTTCAGCTCCTTGAATACATCAAAACAAAACTCCGTGCTTGCTGTACTGATGGAGCCCATTGTGAAACCAGTATTGTCTAGAGCAAACAGTAGAAGTACAACAACAATGTAATGATAGAATACTGTACAAACACAGTGCAATACATATTAATAGTAGTTTTTAGGCAATGAAAAATAAGCAAGTAGCTTTGAAGCCATTCTATAGTAACATGCCTATTGCTGTGCTCACCTATCATGCATGTTAGAAATTCTGTATTCATACATCTTTTTATTTCTGCATTTGTATTCATTTGCCTTTTTGGCAGTACAGTTCCTCAGAGGTCTTAAATGTGTATGTGATTTCTGTTTACCTCTTCAAAGCAGTCGAACAACAATTGCCTGCACTTATTTTCATTCAGTGGAGGCTAGAATTCCTTGGTACTTTTTAGTACCTTTGATGAAAACAATGTCTTTGATGTACTTGGAAAATGTCGAAATTTAAAGTGTAAATTTCGGTAGTCTTGCTCTACGTTTGGACAGATATAAGTAAAAGCAGAGGCTGGCTGACTATTTTTATTCTGTAAAAATAAATAAATGCAGTAAAATGTCTATTTGTTGCACAGTACTTACTGTCAGTAGATCTTCAAATGCTTATATCTTTACCCTTGTTTTAGTAATGAAAGCATGGATAGGCAATATAATGTGTCTAAGGTCACTCAGTCTAGGAGAGAGACTGATGCACAACACTCATATTCCACCCTCCTGTGCTCTCAGATATAGCTTACTTTGCTTAAATATATCTATATATACTACACTATAACCTTTCTGACAAACTGAATTTTGTTAGTGACATTCAGATAGAATAGAAATGCAGACATGGTAAAATAGCAACATCTACCATAATACAGCACTGTTAAATGAATATTCCTTTGTAGCATAGACCAGTAGAAGCTTTATATTTTTTTCTGTCTGAGGCTGCTATAAAGTGCTGGACAGTGTAAGTCCTTGTGTAAGTCTTTGTGCTTATAAAAAGCACAACTTTTGAGATCACCATGAATCTAGTTTCCTTTCTGTGGTATATAGAAGTCATAAAAGTTCATTGTCTTTCAAAATCCATGCCCTTATACAGGCACTTAATGCTGGGATCTCAAGTTTGGAGTATTAAACTCAGCCAAGGTATTTAATGACCATGCTCATGACTATACACATACACTCGCATACACATTTCTCCCATTTTCCTTTATGAGTTCACATTTATAAATTATTGTAAAAATATGTCTGTACACCCACACACATTTTATCTTGTGTAGTGTTCACCAGCTGTATTTTCCAGGAATGCAACTGTTAAGAGAAATTTCACACTGAAGTAAACTTAGCAAATTCACTGAATGCCACAGTTTTGCCCTCAATGCACTCTGTTGGACCAGAGGTCAATCAAGCAGATTTATTCTTTGGCTGCCAAAATCAAACTTATAAGATGCCAAGTGAGAAGATAAGCTGCTCTGGAATAAAATAATGTTTTAAGCACAAAGAATAAACTTTTTAAAAGTCTCCTGAAAACAAATACTCAGGTTTTACACATAATAAAATAGTGTAGAATGCATACACACAGGTGAGAAGATTTGTAGGGAATATCATGTAAATATTTTGTCCTTAAAGATACCAAACACAACACAGTAATTGCTCTAAGATTAGGCATAAACAAGAAATAATATAGTGAGAAGGTAAATTTTCATGGAGAAATGCTTACCGTTCGAGCTTCAGCACCAAGGGCAATACAGCTTTCCAGCTGTATGTAGACAGACTGGCTCAGCCCCTGGGAATTTATACGGTCTGAATTGTGAACTACCCACTGCTGCCCTTCAGAAGTTTGACCTTTGACACCATAAAAATAATTTAATGAGATTAGGTCAGATTTTAGTTTCAGCGGATCCGGTTTTGATTGAAGGAAGAGCAAATATTAGTTTTTTATTCTGTATAACAAAGTGTTTTCCACCAGTACATCAGGACTGCTTGATTGGAGAAAAGACTGGAAAATAATGCTCACATTCCTTTAAGCCTCATTTGCAACTAGATACTGGGATGTTATTAAAAACAAAAAATGTGAAAACCTTAGTGATGGAAAACATAATCAGCAGTAATTAGTCAATCTGTCAATAATTAGTCAATCTGTTATTATTGTTGTAGTAACAGACTCTTCTTTCAATTGATCCTTTTTGAATGTACAAAATGCAGCTGAGCCATACTAAACAGAAGATAAGTGAGAACAGGACCCGGTCTATTATTCTACTAACAAAACTGGGGAAATAAAGAAAGGGGTGTGTGAGAAAACCAGCTGAGATGAAAGTCAAAAGCGGGCACATTTTCTCTGAAAAGCTGGGTTATTTAAAAAAGATCTTTTGATGGGTGTGCAGGTTTTATAGCAAACTATTTTATTCTCAGGGAGTAATAGCAAAACATAGCCCCAGACAAAGTAAAAAGTAGTAACTTCCAAATGTGTTTGTGGTATGCACTTGCAACATATCTCTCAGGTCTTCCATGGGTGGCCTGGCAGATGACAGAGGAACTGTGAAATGCAGCTGAAGGAGTGTTCATGGTCTGTGGGACAATCATAATATACAATAGCATATATATTTCAGTTATAAAAGCTATTGTTCTGTATAATAATAGAATAGACAAACAGTAAAGAAACCATTCTGACCTCTGTAAAGCACTATGTGATTTTTTTAAAAAAAAGGGAGGGGGGAAATCTCAAAGTTGGTATGACATAATACTTTAGAACATATATGGAGATGACTGTGATCTCTGTTAAGGAGAAGAGGTAGGCTCCAATAGTTCTGTCAAAAGTTTAGCCAGTGCAGTTTTCTTTGCCTCAGTCTGCTTCCTTTTGTGAAAATAAACGTGCCATACAAATCTACATTCTCCTTGACGAGTTGTTGTCACCAGGACAGTCTGAGGACTTAAGCAAGACAAGATTGTAGTGGAAGTGTTATTTTTTGTTAGATCTCTACTCCACAGCTATCAGCCAAGTGTTTTGGGTTAGGGTGGGTTTTTTGTTTTCCCACAAATTGTCTGACATTTACATATCTATACTTATGCACAGACTAATTCTTTTTATAAGTCAGGTCTGCTGCTTCTGTTTCAGCCTTTAAGAAAGCCTGAAAAGCTTGTCTGCTTTTTCTGATGATAAAAGTGCTTCTCAAAAAACATTATCCCTACCTATAGAATATTAATTACTATGTTGATGGAGAAAGTAAATGGAGAATGAGTCTCCCATGTGTGATGTTAACCAAAAATCCTCCACCATCTGGTCAATCAAACACCAGGAACGAGTTGTGCACCTGTATTCTACTTAGCTCTTCATATCCATTTGTTAATATATAGATTAATGTATACCAGGTGGTCCTGCCACACTGAAACATCCTGGTGAAATAACAAGGAAAAGAAGTTTTGCCTCTCACTGAGTCAAGGAACAGTTTACCAGCCAGCCAGATGCTGGAGAAGACATCCAGCCTCAAAGGGATGCTTCCAGATATTTTAAAGCATTAAGACAGTACTACCATAGCTGAGGAGAATGGCTGAAGATCTTCTTGAGTGGGAGGCAATAGGGAGGCAGTTTTAGTAGGAAAATTCCTATCTTTTTAGAAGCCTGGTCTGAGAGCATGTCACATGAATACAGCCAGGGGACTGAGCACTTCAGCTGGTGCCTCAACTCCTAGCTCACCCTCCCCTGCACTCAGAGGGAGAGCAGCTGTGAGGGTGAGCAAGCATTGTGAAACTAGGAGAATATGGTGCTTTTATAATGGAAGCTCTCTGGGAGAATCTCTATCCTTGGCTGAGCTGTCACCTGGAGTAACCTGAATAATTCTGTCTTCTCCACTACAGAAAAGGGATGAGTTATCCACTATGGCAAAAATTGTCAGTTATTTTGTCTGAGCAGACACCAGGTCAGATCAGTAAAGGCAAGGTGTTTCCAGAGTAACTCTGGCATATATGATTAAGCTTTTAATTTTCTCTCTCCCTTTTCCTTTTCCTTTTCCTTTTCCTTTTCCTTTTCCTTTTCCTTTTCCTTTTCCTTTTCCTTTTCCTTTTCCTTTTCCTTTTCCTTTTCCTTTTCCTTTTCCTTTTCCTTTTCCTTTTCCTTTTCCTTTTCCTTTTCCTTTTCCTTTTCCTTTTCCTTTTCCTTTTCCTTTTCCTTTTCCTTTTCCTTTTCCTTTTCCTTTTCCTTTTCCTTTTCCTTTTCCTTTTCCTTTTCCTTTTCCTTTTCCTTTTCCTTTTCCTTTTCCTTTTCCTTTTCCTTTTCCTTTTCCTTTTCCTTTTCCTTTTCCTTTTCCTTTTCCTTTTCCTTTTCCTTTTCCTTTTCCTTTTTTTATTTTTTTCTTTTTCCTTTTCTTTCATTTTTATGAATATAGTTCAGTGTGTTAACTATTTTGGATGTTTTGAATAAATGCTTTTATTAAGACTTTACCATAACCTGTCTTAAGAGTGCTGACTAACAACAGGGTGTTTCTCGCCAAATACCAACCAGTGTACCAGCGAGCCAAAGCACTGAACGCTAACACAAGTACCCACATTCTCTCTTTTGTATCCACTGGCAGAGTGGGTCATTTGTGTAGCTCAGGAGGTGACGTAGTACCACAGACATCAGGAGAAGCAGAATTACTTTTCAGTATAGGTGGCCAGAAGAATATCTTGGCATATAATAAATACTGGGAGGTGTGCCTGGACCCTGAGAGCCACATGGAGTATATCACACCTTATTTTGCTTTTAAGCTTCATGTGCACAAAATAATGGTTATCAGGATTCCTTCAAAGCTGCAGATGAAAAGGCTGAACAGAACATGCTGAAGTGGGCATACGCTGACAATACTAAACTAGGAGGAGCTGTGGACTCCCTCAAGGATAGAGAGGCCTTACAGAGAGATCTGGATAGGTAGACAGCTGGACAATAACCAACTATATGAAATGTAACAAGAGAAAGGGTGAATTTTCCACCTGGGATAGGGTACATGAACAGTTACATCAACAAATTGAGGGATAAAGAGGCTGGAGAGAAGCCCTGCAGAAAGATATCTGGGGGGTTGGGTTGATGGCAAGCTGAAGATGAGACAACAGTGTGCCCTGGCAGCCACAAGGGCCAGGACTGTGTCCTGGGGTGCATCAAGCACAGCACAGCTAGCCGCTCGAGGGAGGTGACTGCCTCACTCTACACCCCACTGGTGAGACCCCACCTCTGGGACTGTCTGCAGTTTTGGGAGCCTTAATATAAGAAGGACATCATGCTGTTAGAGTATGTCCAGAGGAGGGCAACCAAGATGGTGAAAGGTTTCACAAGCAAGACTTACGAGGAGCAGCTGAGGTCACTTGGCTTGTTCAGCTTGGTGAAGAGGAGGCTGAGGGGGGATCTCACCACAGTCTACAACTTCCTCAAGGAGGTAGTGGAGCAGGAGGTGCTGATGTCCTCTCTCTGGAGAGCAGTGATAGGACACGAGGAAATGGAGTGAAGCTGCATCAGGGGAAGTTCAGACTGGACACTAGGAAGAGGTTCTTCACTGAGAGGGTGGTTGGTCACTGGAACAGGGTCCCCAGGGAACTGGTCACAGCACCCAGCCTGTCAGAGTTCGAGGAGCATCTGGGCAATGCTCTTAGTCATATGGTTTAGTTTTAGGTAGTCCTGTGAGAAGCAGGGAGTTGGACTTGATGAACTTTATGGATCCCTTCCAATTTGAGATATTCTATGATTCTATGAACCTATGTGTTTACACCTAATAAGCTGTTTTCTCACACAGTTTATAGTGAACTTCAGGTTTGTGTCACTATTTTCACTCTTTATTCCTTTTTTTTTCAGGGCCATTTTGTGTTCACAGTGGTTTATTTCTATTTCTAATACACTGGTCTTCCATTGCTGCACATATAGGACTTTGCCAGTACATTTAAGTCAGACAAAACTGCCTTCCAGCTATCCCTCAACCCTCTAAACAACGCTTCCCTTAATCTGATATATTGTATAGAAATTACATAAGTGTCCAGACCTGTGTCACAGGCCCAGATCATCAAAAATGGCCTGTATTTTAGGACTTACAAACATATCCAGAAAGCTGCCGCAGTTTTGCAGTGATCATTTTTTCACATCATCACACTGCAAGTATAGAATAAAAATGTTCCCAGAGGTGTTTTTTATACCTGATGAATCTGACTTCTGTGTCGTGTCCTAGTTACAGACCTGCACAACAGTTTTGTGTTTGATGCAGAGCTTTGTTTCATGAGTTAAAGGCCATGTTTTCTCTCCAAGAACTGGAGTTTTGGGTTCAGAACATACCCACAATGTGACATGGAGGATAAGAAGCTCTGCTTTCGTAGTGTATGAGAAAGACATGCTGTGCTCTTTCTTAAGAGGCCTGTTTGGGTTTTCTCTGCTCAAATTGGTAGTGCAAAGCTAGTTTTAAGCAATAGAATCTACCCCTGAGCAGTGGAGAACCGGATCAGAACAGGCCATCAGCATAGCATCAACACACAAAAGGTCTTGTATAGTCTGCTTGACATACGGTCTATAGAGAGTAAGCAAACCTTCCAGCAGTTAGAAGGCTACCTGGGACAACTAGCAATGGAGTGCCTTGTCCAACACAGCTGTGCAAAGCAGTACAAACAGTTCTGTCACACATCCTTGTTTGACAATGCTTGTCCCAAGAAAGAGGTCAACTAAGGCTCTGCTGCCCTTTCCCTCTGCCAGGCATTTCATTGTGGAGCTGTCCCTAAACCAACAGACTCTTGAGTACCTGAGCCTTGGACACCTGAGATTATAAAAGGCACTTTTTATCCAAAAGGATATGAAGTCCAGGTCAGCTCACAGACCAAAACCTCTCACCCAATCACAGCAACTCACGCAGAACTCAAGATTTTGTTCTCATCCATGCTGCTGCTCTTTTGCCAGTAGGAAGGAGCATGTTAATTGTTTTGTGTTTGTCTTCATTCCACATTGTGAATCTGGAAGCTGTCTT